TATAGCAAGATGGAGGTTTTCAAGCAGAGGTTTCTTTCTTCTTTGCCACCTTCTTCATGGGTCTAGGTAGAATCTTGTTTAATTGGATAGAAAAATATGCATTGTGGGTCACGGGTGATTGGTTATTGGGTTAAAAGTAAAAATAATTTAGGTGTTAATTCTTAATTGGACAGATTGGCCCTTAAAAGGCCTTGCAGAAAGAGAGATACACGCCCATTTCTAGCCTATTAACTAGAAGTGCTGTAGAACTCACTGTAATATAGATAAGAATGAATAAACAAGCAATCTGGGAGGATGGGACTTCATAACCTGGAGCTGGAATTGGACAATGAACCCCAATATGGAAATGGGCCAAAACTTATAAAAGTGTGAGAACTTGTGACTCAGAGTCCATCTTGGGTGGAGCCACGGCCGGGCCTGAGGTGAATCCTTGGAAGGCCTTTCAATAAATCCCTACTTTATTCCTTTAGCACCGTGCAGCCTCTGTAGGCAGCACTCGCAGCAGCCGCTCACCGTGGAGATTGCAGAGATACTCGCGCATCCTCATCACCACGCGGGACCGCAGCCGCAGGCTGGACTGCAGCCGCGAGCTGCGCAGGTCCAGGTAGCGATACTGCATCCGCAGCGCCTCCGACTTCTGGGCAGGAGACACAAGCAGCATGAAGAGACAGAATTCGAATTGCACGTCCACTGAAAGTGCTCCTAAAGCCACCGGGGGGAAAGGGACAAGCTAAAAAGGGACGGTGCTCGGTTGCCACAATGCGCCCTACACAAACATCGCTTGAAACAACCAAACTGCCCACAAAGGTTGTGGCTGCCCCGTCCCTGGAAGTGTTCAAGGCCAGGTTGGATGAAGCTCTGAGCAATCTGGTGCAGTGGGTGGCATCCCTACCCATGGCAGGGGGTTTAGAACAAGATGATCTTTAAGGTTCCTTCCAAGCTAAACTATTCTGTGATTCCACGAGTCAAATAAAACAGCCTCACTTCACACTCAAAAAACACAGCATAGCCCCATTTCTTTCACTCTTTCCTTTACCATCAGTTCTTCCATAAATCTGGAATAATTCAAGCCCTGTTTTCTCCTTAGCTCTAACTGGAAATAAATCCTCCCAGCAAACAAACAGCAGCTCTATTTTAAATACCATCATTCCTCCACAGTGAAGTGGGGAGAATCAAACTCAGCTCTCAGATGTTGTGCTGTCACCCTGGGCAAATTCCCAACTTAATGAAAAGCCACCACTTCGATAAGGAAAACACAGACACCTTGATAAAATCCTTGATTTCAAAAGGCAGCTTCTTGCAGGAGTTTAGAATCTCTGCAGCCTCTGCCTTCACTTCAATATCCCCTGTTGGCATTTTCTAGAACAAAAAGGCAAGAAAAAATTAAGCTCAAAACAGTTGGACAAAGGTATTTCACAGATAGTCAAAGGGAAAAAAAGAAGCAATGTGATTACCCTCTCTGCCTTCTAACACAGTGCCTAAGTCAGAGTTTCTCCCAAGGACAGATTTCTCCCAGATTTCCCTTCTGTTCAGAGAAACACAAGTCACCTCACCAAAGATGGCAGCTTCTTTCCCAGTAGCATACTGGTCTCTAAACACATTAGCCTCAGCAAAACCATACAGTGTAGGTTTCAGTGAGCATGAGCAGCAACAGCCCTTAACAGGAGTCAGAAAAGGCAAATTATGAGGAACTTTGCAGAACTTCCAGCTCTAAACACCAGTTCTCAGAACTGGTCTTCTTTTGACTCTGTCCCGAGGGAGGGCAGGCAGCTCCCCTCACTGAGGCACAGCAAAGCTCACCTGATCCTGCAGCACTCTTGCTATTTACCAGGGGAAAGGACACACAACCTTCCCACAAAACAAGAGATGAATAAAAGAAATAAAGGTATTGCTTGAAACCTGGATTTTAAGTGGATACATACAAGATGGAGCAAAAAGGAGTTATGATCATAAATATATGTAAGATCGTAGATATATACACATGTATGATCATAAATACAATCCTCTTTTCAGACCTGCCAGTTACATGTACAATCCTGAAAGATCAATCTACAGCTGATTACAATGACAGCTGAGGAATGAAGAACATTAAAAAATTATTCAACTCCTGTTTCCTATACAAGGAGGCCAGCAAAATCAATAAACAGGTCACCACATGCCATGGAACTCGAAATGACAATATTTATTCTCAAGCAAAAGAAATCCCATCCATGCTCTGAAAGCCTGGAAAAGCCAGCATTATCCTTGCCAAGGACTGGGATCTAGGCCTGTAATGTGCTTTGAGATCCTCCTGTCTCTGACACAGCACTTATTTCACCTCACACTATCTGAGGACGGGCTGCCACACAACCAGAACCCGTGGCAATGCTCTGACACAATGCCCACCATAATCCCACCATCCAGGGTTGTTTCCTTCAAGGAATGGAAGCCCTGAGAGCCCCCCCACCCCATCCTCACCGGATTCTGCTGCCCCAGGGGCCGAGGGGACACTGTCCCAGTCACTCGCACCACAGACTCCACCGGGGCATTGGACAGCAGCTCCTTCACGTGGGAATGTGCCTGCAGCGAGAGGACAGAGCCTCAGAAATTCAAAGAACAGGACAAAGGCACTGTGGCCAAGCACCTCAATCCAAAATCACTCGTAAGGCAGGGGAAACAGCACAGATGCTTCTGTTGCAGTGACAGGTCAGGGCTCTCACAACACTTTAATCCAGTTGTGAGTCAGAGCACTGAGTTTGACAAAGCCCTTCCTTCTCTCTGTGGCTGTTGAAGCCAAGCTACCAAAGGAAAAATAAAAACAGACTCATGTTTTGGTAGCACTCACCTCATCCTGAGGAATGACGACCTGGGTCAGTCCCTGGAAATCCCTCAAAACGAGAAACAGGCCTTGTCTGATCCATGAAAAGCACAAAAGGAAGAACATTCTTTTCACAAATTTAGTAGTTTCTACTTTTTAAAAGCATATGGCAATTGGCTACACTTTCAGTACCCTGCAACTCATCCCAAAGCACTTCCAAGCACTGAATTATAAACACTTTTCCCACACCTGAACCTAACCTTAACAATTTATTTCCCATTGTGACCAGCCTCAGACAACATACAAATTACCAGGAGAACCAGAGTTTTAACTTGAGCTATCATGCACGCAGAGCAGGGATTCTGGACACATGAATTTTCCTGCTGGAAACATCATTCAGCTAAAAACAATTAAATGAGCAATAAAACTAAAGTGCCCGTGGAATAAAAAAACCAGCAAAATCCAATCGTAAGTCAAGAAGGGGAAAACTTGTCCCATAAAAAGTTCCACATGAACAATCCACACTGCTAGACCCAGAACCATAAATCTTGATTTCGTCAAGCTGCAGCAGGGACAGATGCCATTGTGCTTTATCCATCAAAAAACTGCCCAATGGGACATGCTCTGGTGTCTTGAAAAACATAATCACCACGATCACATTGCAATAATCCCAACTCCTTTTCCTGGGTCTCCATCTACAATTGCTCAAAGATGAGATGCTCAGGACCTCCTAAAATCAAAAAACCCACACAGACCATCCCTGGAGAGCAATGCTGGATGAAACACATCTTACACTGGGTTTGGCAAATAATCACCTCCGTTTTCACCATGGTTTGCACTTACCTTTGATATTGAATCCATCCATACAAGGTCACCTTCTGTCCCACATGAGCAGAACGCAGCTCTCCACACGTGTTGGTCCGAGTGACAAAACTGTTGAAGTCTTTAATTAAAAAAAAAACTATATAGAAAATATCTCATGGCTTTTACAATTGAGACAGAATAAATAATGAGTTTTCCCTCCCAATACAATTTATACATTTACAGAGAAGTTACTTCATATACAGATCTGCACTAGGATACTATATCATAATCATGAAATGAAGGTTTATTATTAAACAGGGATTATTGTTTATGTTTCTCAGTTATACTTTTTTATAAAGATATTTGAACACAGCCTTGCTGCAAATTGTTGCCCTGCAAATTGCAGGAGCAAGCAAAAGTCACAGATCAATCCTGAGGGATGCTGACAATGCCACATTTAAATCTAGAATCACAGAATAGCCTGGGTTTCAAGGACCTTAAAGCTCATCTCATTCCATCCCCCTGCCATGGGCAGGGACACTTTCCACTATCCCAGGTTGTGCAGAGCCCCATCCAGCCTGGCCTTGGACACTGCCAGGGATCCAGGGGCTGCCACAGCTTCTCTGGGAAATTCTGCCAGGGCCTCCCCACCCTCACGGGGAAGAATTTCTTCCAATATCCAACCCAAACCTGCCCTCCCTCAGCTCAAAGCCACTTCCCCTTGTCCTGCCACTGCAGCTCCTGGTGGCAATAGAGCAGAACAAGGCTTAACAAACCAGGAATTAAATGCACACGGAGGACACCCGGCATGCAGGGGTAAATTGAACAGTTCCTGCCTGAAACAACCGGGAAAAGGCCTGAGCCACGGCCACAGAAAGCTTCGCACACCCCCGTGTGCCTGCAATCATAGCCTAAGTTATAAAAACAAGCACACCGCTTACAGAGGTTCAGCTTGCAAGAAGTCTCAAGGATACCATCAGCTGGACATATAAAAATGATTTTATGAGCCAATCTCGCTAGCTTCACCATAGCCTTTCGAATTAAAAGAGATTTAGACAAGACACAAAGTGATACAGGGCACATAAATTGGCTCGAGCGTGATAGTACTCGACTGTGTGGACGACCCTGAGCTGTATCCCGGGAGGAAAGGAACCCAAATCTTGAGGGGCTGAGACCAGCGCTCCTCACCTGGAGTCGCGGGCGGAGCAGCAGCGGCCGCCCGGTGTAGCGCCCGCACCAGGAGCCGGGGGAGCGCCATCCCGCCGCCGCCCCTCGGCCAGAAATACACGAGGAGCGCCACAGGCCCGCGGGAAGTGAGAAATAAGAGCTCCGGAGGGGAACAGGGCAAAATCACCTCCGGCAGCAGCGCCGCCTTCCCGCACTGCCGCCCGCCTCAAAGATGGCGGCGGGGCGCGCCCCCGCGCGGGGGCCGACGGGAGCCGAGTTCGAACGGCGCCGGCGGGCCGCGGCCGCCATGGCGGAGGAGGCGCTGGAGGACGGCGCGGCGCGGACCCTGCCCAGCCTCAGGCAGCTCTCCCGGGCTCTGCCCTTCGGACGGAGCCACGGCCGCCTCGGCATCAGCTCCAGCGGCCGCCTCATCGTGCCGGCGCTGTGCTCTCAGGTACGGCGGGGCCGAGGAGGCGGCGGCGCCCCGCTGTCTCCTCCCTGTCCCCTCAGCCGCGCGGGAAGAGCGGCCTTCAGCTTTATCCCTTGTATATTGTTTTCCCCCAGGAAAACGTGGATCCGCAGAAGACAGCGTTCGTGCTGTGCAAAGCCTGGACGCTGTACAGCGTGACCCCCCTGTACGGCTTCCGCCGCGCCCGCCTCAGGGACTACGCGCGGCTGCTGAGCGCCTTCATCGCCGCCGAGAAGCAGAAGGGGCTGGCGGTGGAGGTGGGCGTCGAGCTGGACATCAAGGTGGCCCTGTCCAGCCTTGCCGAGCTCCGGGGCAGCGAGCTGGACCAGGCTGCCCTCCTCGTTCAGGTGAGGGGGCTGTTCTTGCTGTGGTGAAACGCTCTGTCTTGGAAGAAAACCCCGAAATTAAACCCTAGCTGTGTGGGCATAACTACGGAGCATCCACTGTGATTTAATGAAACTGAATCCTATCTGTTTTTAACTGAAACAGAACGTTTACAGTCTTAAGCTGTGCCAGGGGGCATTTAGGTTGGACATTAGGAAGGATTTCTTCACAGAAAGGATGATTAGACATTGGAACTGACTGCCCTGGGAAATGGTGGAGTCACTGTCCCTGGAGGTGTTCAGGGAAAGACTGGATGTGACACAGTCAAAACCCTGGTCTAATGACAGCGTGGTGTTTGGTCACAGGCTGGACTTGATGAGCTTAGAGGTCTTTTTCAGCCTAATTGGTTCTGTGATGCCCTAAGCAATGCATACAGTAAATAGCAAGTTTGAGTTCAACTTTTTAACAGCATCAGAGTACGACTATACAGAGCAATCTCTGTCTGATGTCTTAGTTCAGCAGTCAGTTTACTGTCAGGACTTGGATGGCTTATTCATCTTCTTGGATAAAGCTGGCATAATCCCACTTCCTGGCCACAGTCGGGTCTAATTAGTATTTCTGAAATGCTTTGCCTCAAGTGAAAACGTGCTACTGAAATGTCAAGTTCATTGCGGCAGTGGTTGTAGGATATATCATAGGAGTTAAGCAGCATGCACTGAGATGTCAGGACTGCTCCTAGGGAAGTTAAAAACACTTTTTCTGCTGTTTTCAACAGAAGTGCATTCAACTTTTAGGGATGTAATGGATAGACTGAATAACTGTGTGTATTTGACAGAAAACAGCATTGCATGCATGGTCCTAAGGAAAACAAAAACACTTTTAAAACTTTAAATCAAAATCTGTTTTTAGCTGATGAAGAAACAAAAAAGCCATACTTGCTCTCTGCAGCATTGAAATGCTTCTTCTCCCCCCATCCCAGCTCTCTTCAAGGTCACGAGCTTCCTCCAAGAACTCTGAAGACAAACTGGTGTGGTCGGGCTGGTTCTGCTCCATGTTTGGAGATGACTTTTCCGAGAACGTGCCGGAGGACTTCACCTGCCTGCCCCTGTTCCTGACCCACGGGGCCGAGACCTACACGTCCTTGGTTGGCAGCTGGTTCCAGAAAACTTTTGACTGCTGCTTCCGCCGCCTGGCCATCAGCCCCCTGAACCTCAGCTGGATGGTGGCCATGTGGGCTGGCTGCAAGCTGGACAGAGCTGCCTCTGCCGTGGAACTCGTCTTCTCCATGCCCCGCCTGTCCCAGCCCTTGGATATTTCATACGCCATCCACCCAGAGGATGCCAAAGCTCTGTGGGACACGGTGCAGAAAACGCCAGGAGAGATCACCCAAGGGGAGGTGGATGTCTTCATGGACTGCCTTTACGCCCACTTCCACAGGCACTTCAAGATCCACTTGTCAGCTGCGAAGCTGGTGAAGGTCTCCACAGGGGTTGCCTCGGCACACTGTGATGGGATTGTAAAGGTGAGGCCCCAAGGAGCAGGTTGTCCTAATTGCTGGCCAAATAAAATAGCTGCACCTGAAGGTGTCAAGTTTTGCATGGTTTCCTACAAGGAATTGTTAAACTCTCATCTTTTGCTAGTCATGCTTAGCTCTGAAGTTGGGGCAGCTGTCAGTACAGTATTTTGCTACTTTTGTGTTGCAGCAGAAGCTACTTGCCTGGGGCCAGAAATAGGTGTATTAGCTGTGGTATGAACAGGAAAGTTTCTTAGGTCATTAAAAAACTCCTTTTGGATTTAAAAAGATCCCAAACTTTTAAAAAAAGTTCACTAACTTTCTAGCATTGTAGTTATTAAGACACAGGCAAAAGACTCCTTCACGTGTAACCCTTTTCATAGAGCTGCTGGTCTTTCTACAGAAGTATCCCTAATATCCTTCAAACCAGGGAACATTAATCCTTCAAGCAATACAGTATTTTCTTCTGAGTTAAAGAACAGTTTCTGTAAATGCAATTGTTTAAATTTACTCTATAATGGGCCTTGGCACATTGTGTAAATGCAATTGTGCAATTGTTTAATTTACATTGCTTGTTTTTATCTCTAATACCTTAAAACTGTTTGAAAGAACTTTTTCTGTCACAGGCAAGTACACAAAGATATCTCAGGTTTTCTGAAGGGTGCTCTTGTGGAATGTGTGTTGTGTAAATTCAGTTATGGGTTTTCATAATGGGATAGAGTTCAAGTCATGTATATTCAGTGTGGGAGAAGTATAAGTACCTGAAAAGCAACAACAGAGCAGCTGAATAAACACACAGAACACTTGGTAGATTCCTTCCAACCAGGGCTTCAGGGTGTGGAAATCTGGCAGCTGCAGTTGTTGCTTTGACAGGCTTTTTTTTCTCTCTTTCTTGCAGATTCTACACAGCCAATACCTGCCTGAAGTGCTGATGCTACTGACTGAACTCGCAATCTCTCAGATACAGTGAGAGCCATTTCAGTAGCTCTTCATACTAAAAAGGCTTTCTGTTTGGACAATCTGTGCTGAGAAACCACCAGGAAACTCACTCCTGCAGCATCTTCTTTCCTCTCATTCTGGCTGTCCAAAGTCGGACTGTAACTCCAGCATTTGGCTGTGTAACTCCATGCCATGCACAGCGAAGTCAAGCAGACATTTGGCCCTGAAGAAGGGCTGCAATGCAAACTTGTGACAGCTTCCTGAGCACCTTTGTTTTCTCAGAGTCACTCGTTCCATTTATGTGCAGGTATCACCTCAGAGACAAACAGTGCAAATTCTTGATGCAACTTACTGACAGGTATTTCTATTGTTTCAAAGTTGGTTTTTACTGGGCAGCCTAAGCTACACAGACCTTGGCCTTGGCTAAACTGTGACTACTCTTGGGCTAGTCTAAGTGCAAGGTTCAGCACACCTTATAAAGGGTACATGCTCTACAATCCAGGGCAGAAAAATCCAGGTTTCTAACTCCCTTTTTGGCTTGTTAAGGGTATTTGATAATGGTGATAGTATTTATTTATGTTCCAGTTGGGCATGAGATTGGACACAAGGCACTTGTCAGCCTGTTGGCCCTCTCAGGCAAGTTAATAGATAGGAAAGTGAGGTGTGGATAAGCTTGTAATGTAATGTTTGTAATCTTGGATGCAATCCTGTGGGCCAGAGAGCTCTCAGGGTTGGAGCTGTGTGCTGTAATTTGATGTTGGATCCCTCCCTTTTGGAGCAGGGAAGTGTTCAAAGGAACAGTGTACAGTGTCTAGCTAGACAGTTAAGGAGCAGAAAGTAGCACCTGCTAAGACATTTTTGTAGTACAGTATTAAATAAAGAAAATATGTTTCATCTTATGTCTTAAGGAAAGACCACCTATGTCTAACTAAATGTATCCTTGCACGGGGCTCATTTCCAACTACAGCTTACCTGACCAAACCACCTCTTTTTACTTATTAAATGCTTCTGTGAGCAGCAAAATTCCAAGTCTAGTTTCTTGCTTCGTACTTGTACAGCATCTCTAGGAGCTGATTTGTGCTACGACCTCCTCCTAAACAGGGGTGCAAGTTTCCTTTCTTTTCCCAGTGTAAAGCTACATAACATGACATAACTGCATGTCTAGTTCCTAACCTATTTCCAGAATTAAACAAAGAAACACGCATTTGGTTTCAGATTCTTTACTAGATGAAGATAGATTATTTTTGCATGTTAAAGTTGAAGTCTGTGGTATAACTCTTACCCTGGTACCATCAGCTAAGTGATCTTCTGAAGGTCTTGGCAGCTCAGAAGCTACTTTAACTATCAGTTCTGGTGCTTTAGCTTCCTTTTTGGAAATATCTCAGACAAAGTTTGCTATCTGGAGTCAGGAGAGCACTGGACAAAGGAGTACAAGGTCTGGAAATAACTGGCACCTGTATTTGGTTTGAAAATAGGACTGTTACATCTAGGGCTAAGTTTTAAATCTAATCCTCAGATCTTTCCAACAAATATACATAAATCATCCCTGAAAACCTAAATTCTTATAGCCTCTTTTAACCTCTTCCTTGTGTTGTCCTCATTGATAAATGCAGTTAATTGAGCAGAGATAAGATTTAGCCAGATAGTACAGATGCTTCCTTTCAGAAAAAGCTGATTCTGAGTGATGTGAAGGCTAACAATAAACAGCAGAGTTTTAAGCCTCTTTTACTGGGATTTATCTGGAAAAAAACTCTCCAGCATCTTTGTCCATGTAAACCACAGAAAAACATCCCCCCCACTGCTTTCAACCCCAAGGAACAAACCAAGAACAGCGTAGAAGAAATTTATTAAGATAGCACTATTTATACAAGTTACTCATGCTAGAAAAAAGCATAAATGATACATGTAAACATTTGTTTACAGAATACTTGTTTTCCTTGTAAAGGTGCAAATGATCTTCATATGTAAACACAAGAATACCGACCTTTAGGGGGAAAGGGGCTTTTAAAAAAGTTTTAATGTCCCGTTTATGACTGTAGTGTATTTTTTACTATATTCAAGCACATTAAAGTCTGAGTTACAGGAATCAAACTATGAAGTTAAAAGAACTTAAGATGTCAGCGCTGCCTTTTTCATCTCAAGAATTTACAATCCTCGTTTTCAAAATCAAATTTAGTAAGGTCCACAGTTAGATCAGGTGCAAAAGGTCATTCTTCCATACTCAATAGAAATTACAGTACAAACAGAACTGTTGAGTCTTGAGTTTTTCCCTGCTCTCCCCCAACCCCTGGGTGACTCCACAGTTATTCACAGTGCCAGCAAACAGCCCTTCCCCTCCAAACTCCTAAATGAGCCTCACCCCTTTCCCTGCTCTACCCATGCACAGGCAAAGTGCACAAAAATCACTCGAAGAGAGGGCACCGTCCATCATGGTCAGGAATTCTACAGACAGACAAGAGGGCAGCTGAGGTCAGGCTGGTCTGAGCTTTTTTTTCCAGCAGGAAGGAGCTGACTGCGGATCTGCTCTTCCAGCAAGACTAGAAGTGGGTGTCAGAATTAACAGATGATACTTGCACCCTGCTTCAGTCAGGAACTAATATCGAGCAGGCAACAGAGAGGAAAAAGGCTTTTAGAAGTGAGCTAGAACTAGCTGGATTTAGGTTCTGTCAGTGGTTGCAGGAGAAAGTACCAGTGTGGGTGTAGCCAAACTGAATTCCACACCCATCTGCACTATTCCTGATGAACTGTTAGGGGTGGGTCCTTTGTAACAGCTGCGAGCTGGGTACAGTGTTCTCTGCCTACACAAAGTGACAACTATACCTAGCCTAAGAGGGGTCATCTCTGCCAATGGGCCATCAAGGACTCTCCAAAATATCCTATGACTCATGGGATTCCAACATTCCATTGGGAAATCCCTTGCCCCGGGGGAAGGACTCAACATCCCTGCCTGGACTTAAAAAAAGGTCACTGATCTGGGGGCTGGGGACTTGGACACAACCACCACCACTAGAGAAGGACCAGGCCTTTCCACAGGACCAGCACGTTTGACAAGACCTCATCCATTGCTCCAAAGGGACTGCAACCACCGTTTAATCAGGACTGGTTTTAAGCCAGTCTTTCTGTATTCACTTATGTATGCATGTATTGTAATCTTTCTATTGAGTTGTAACTCCGACTTGGAATCTCTCACAAGGTATTTGGGTGGGGTTAATTCCTCCCGCCGGTTTTCCTTCAAACCAGCACAGTTTCACACACAGGAGAGAGGAAAGATGAACTTTTGTACAGTAAATAGGCATTATTTGAAATCCTTTTCCTCTCACCTTTTTTGGGCACTTCACTGATTCAGTCGAACAATGAGAGTTCCAGTTCTGAAAAGATACTCAGGGCACCCATCCTCACAGCTCTCCTGTCCTCTAAGAGACCCCAAATCATACCACAAGGGTTGGAACCACAGTAGTTGGCAGGACATGGCCCTGCCCAAACCACCAGCTGCTCAAAATGCAAAACACATACATATATATATATATAAAATACATATATATATATGCACACACAGAGATGTCTATAAAAAGCTGGAATCATCGCTGTGAGCGATACAAAGGAAATACATGATACAAATCAAATGAAAAAATAAATATACTCTGTGCACAGAAAAGCTTCTGTGCAAAGGTGGCACCTTGCAGGTCAAGTACTTTTTTTTTTGAAGCTCTCTGTAAATAAGGCAAAAGCAATGTTTTCTGTATCACTTTTTCTCCTTCGCCCACCAAACAGCTGCCACATCCACTGCTCCCACAGCAGGAGGGAAAGCAGGAATCCCTCCTCCTGGCCAGACTCCCAGTACAGAGTGTAGGCTCTACATCAGCATCCTTTACGCTACAATAACTGTTACAGTTTGGTTTGTTCAAAAAATGTAGAACTATTTAGAAAAAATACGGACATAAGCAACACTTCTACTTTTGTCCAGTGGTTCCCTGGAGTCTGACAACGTGGTCTCCCGCTGGGCACACTCTCACTGAAGTCAATTTTTATAATTCCATAGAAAGAGTTCACCGGCAAAGAGTTACATTGGATCTAGACCGTGCATACTAGAGCTGCAAAGAGGTCCAGTGTCAACAAGTCTCTTCAGTTTTTTTTTTTTTTCTAGGAATTGAGAAGGCAGGGGACTCCCTCCCTCTGGCAGCTTACCATATATGAGATTCACAGTGTGTCATTTTGATAACTCCCACGCCTCCGCCCAGCCGCCGGTAGTTCATCCCGCCGTACAACCTGTGGAGAAAATGTTCCAGGGTCACATCCTCCATGGGGACAACATTCCAGGGTCACATCTTCCATGGGGACAACATTCCAGGGTCACATCTTCCATGGGGACAACATTCCAGGGTCACACACTGGGTCACCAACCCTTGGCAGCTGCCATAGGAAAGACTGAACCATCCCATGTTATCACCATTACTGTCTGCTTAAAGTGGGCCCTGAAGAAGAAGTTGTGGAGCATCGACCTTACATATTATAAATAACTATAGAGTTGTTGGCTTTCACAAATTATTATTAATCACATCGATTTTGATATAGTACTGTTCATAACCACTTCTAACTGCTTTAGTATAGTCAGTTTTTGTAGTCAATGCACTATGCAGTAGTGTGATAAATATATTATAGCTTAGCCTTTCACAAAATATTAAAATGAGGACCACGTGTTGTAATGTTAAATGTTGTAATGTTAAAAGCTTTTATTTGTGTAACTAACTGTCAGTGGCAGGAATAACTCAGAATATTGTGTGAAATAGCTATGTTGATTCAATGCACTTGTGGAGTATCTCATCTGAATGATAAGATAACATTGAAAAGAGCCAGGAAAATAAACACCAAGAGAAAAAAAATGCAAGGGATTTGCCACCAACCCTCCAGGTTATCAGGAAGTGTCAAACAACAGAACAGAGCCTTGAGAAGAAATAAAATTATGAATTTCATCTACAGGATGGCACAGAGACAAGTGAAAGGCCCAGCCAAGCAAAAGAATTCCCGGAACATGTAAACTCACAGGAATGTCTGAACATGTATAATCCTCATGAATATGCATTTAACCAATGTAATGAAAAAGTATATAAGAAAATTGTTAAGTTTAACTGGGTGCCTCTGGCAATTTGCCAAGCAGCCCAGTGCTGTGTACAGTCCCTTTTATCCTTACTAAACTTTTAAAGAGTGAGCCTTGCTTTTCACATTACACACTTGACAAGTAAACAGCTGTATTTGTTCATGCCTTTCTCTCTCAGAACAGGAACTGCTGCTGACACCAAATTTCTGTTACTCAAATAAATACTTCCTGCTCCCTGTCTAGTAATGGGCAAGACAGAAAAAGACTTGGTAGGCTGCAGCTGACCTTAGGCTACATTTTGGGTGACACAGGACTAGGCTTAGTCCTCACAATTCAACTAATTTAATTTATATTTCTAAACCCCTACATTCAGCTGATCCAACCAAGATCTAACACATCCCAAGCACCATCTGCTGACTGCAAAGCTGTCTGCATTTCATAGGGATATCAGATCCCTACAGACTCCAGCTCCATATTCCCCTCTGTGCCACTGGAGTCTGCTTGCAGGAACAGGAGAAGCAAGTTCTCCAAACTTTGGCTTTGTTAAAGCCAAACTGCATCAGAATCGTTTCTCAGTCAAGCTGCACAAATAAAAAAATATCTTCAAGATACAAATGAAACAAAAGAAAGGGAAGATCACAGAAGCTGGTCACCTATATTGAGTTCAGTGGGGGAAAAAAACACAGGCTAATAATACCTTGAATAATCTCCCAAACTGTGTGAATGCCTGCCAGGCAGTAATTCCTAACTCTGAACTGTCACAGGGAGTAGCTGAAACCATTCCACTAAGGAAGCTGATCAATGTACTACTCTCTCCTCAACTGGTTTCCTCAGCAGTTAAAGATCCTGTGGATCCATGGCTCACCAAACCAGGGGAAATTCCTCCCCTGCTGCTCATGACAGCAGCCATTCTTACCAGTGAAGGGTTAAACTACTACTATCACTAGTAAGAATAAGGACATTGATTTCTTTCTATTCCCCACCCTTGCCAGATTACCACAGCATCAAAAATAACCACAGGAGCTTGATAATTTATGCTAATTGGGAATAAATACACAAGCAATTGTTTTCAAGTATAGTTATGACTGGAAAGGCTATTTTTCCTCTTTTTTTTCTGTTCAGTGTATATTTTGATCAGCAATTTCATATTATTTGTCTCAGCTTGGACATTTTTCCAGTGGCTGAGTCTTGCTGATTTAAAGGGGAATAACATCATGTACTTGAAGTGTTTCAGCTCCTCCAAAAGGATTCAGAAATCATTGCCTCAGCTTGAAAGCAAGAAGTGAACAGGCCAAACTCTGCCTGGTGGCTGTGAGTTCCTCCTACTAAGGACAAGCGCAGTTTTATTGGGAAGCAGGAAAGACAGCCCAAAATGAAGAGAAGGGACATACTGGGATATTTTTCAAAATGTTGATTCTTTCTTGCAAGGCAAGAAGCCAGAATGGGAGAGTTGTGATGGTTCTACCCCACACAATTTCTCTGCTGTGGTGCCTGGGACAGCTCCAGCTGGATTTCACTGTTTGATTGTCACACAGATTCAAATTACCTCCACGTGTTAGCATCTGGATCAAACACCTCAATGGTCTTCAGGTACGTTGTGCCATCAAAGCCCCCCACTGCCATCAGCTGTCCATTCACCACGGCCAGGCCAACCTGCAAAACAGCCATCACAAAGCAGCTACTTACTTGGGATGTCCTGAAAAGAAGGGTTAAACTGAAAATATTAATAAAACTATTTAATAACCATGTTTGGTGAAAAGCAGTCTGCAGCAGAGGGTTGGGGAAATTTTCTTTAGGGCATGGCACAAACAAAATACCCTAAAAAATGAGATGTGGAAAATTAAATATGTATCTCAGAACAGAGACTCTCTCAAAGAAGAAGCAGAGGGCTCCCCTTATTGACAGCTACAAGAAGTGGAACCATCTGAATGATGATAAATACATAAGATTATAAACTCTTTTCATACAAAACTTATGTTCTGGACTGAAATTCTTCCTCAAGAAGAGTATCTACCAGCCCACAACACTTGGTTAAAGTAGCAGAACCACAGCTAAGCCCTTGGTCCCAAACATCTCAGGCTGGGGTTTGGACCATCTGTAAGCACTTTGGCCTCCAGATTTTCTATTTAGCCTTTCTGCAGAAGCACAGAATCACTGGAACATCAAAAACATGATCACTTCCAGTGGAAAACATGGAGTGTAACAGAGAAAAAGGAAGGTACAATGTAAAATGGTCCCTGTTTTGGCTTTGAGGAAGTCAGAAGAGCTGCAGATACAGCTGTATGTGTTTAGCAGTTTCTGTAGAAAGCAAATACAGAAGCAGCTGATAAAAAGTCAGTGTCTAATGAGAACTAAAGTGGACAGTGTTGGAAAAGAGGATAGCTCACTGTGTGCTTGGAGAACAGAAATAAATGTGTTCTCTGCCTCCAAAACCAGTGGTTGCTCCAAGTGTGATTCATACCTGCCTCACTGGAACACACACAGAACTCATCCTCTCTTTACACACAATCCAATATCTAATGATAAACAACCATATCATTTCTATCTCCCCAGCCATGATGACTACTGAAAACACTGCAGTAATCTGTTGTTCACAAGAGAGCACCACGATCAGCAGCTGCTGGGAACTTGCTGTCACTCACAGGATTCAGGGAGGAGAGGCAACAGCCCAAGTGAAAGCCCAAGAACCCTGCTCCCACACATTCCCCAAGGCAATGAGAATCTGCTGGGAATATGTATCTAAACACATGCTAACCCAGTTTCCCAGCTTTTTCCTCTGAGCAAGTGGGTGTTTTCACCTCCTAATTCATCCAGAGATCCAGATACCAATTTGATAGTGTTCTTTAATGGTATCTCATACCAAGTACAGCTATGTCACCTAAAAGCTCCTCTGCTTCAGGCTTAGTTGACCACATATCAAGGCCCAAAAATATTTCAAAACCCTCTCAAATGACTCATTTCCCCATCCTAAACAGCTGCCTGTGGTGTGACTTGGCTATCTCTTCACCCTCTAGTCTTGCTAGAGAGCTTTTTGCAAACATTTCCCCTCACCGTAAAGAGGTGAAGACACAGACGAAGCAGGAGAGCTTCATGAGAAGACTGACACTTCACCTTGTGCTCTGCCCACAACAAGAGTGACAGCGCCACCCTGCCCTGAGCCCTCCCACAAGCAGACTGACTCTCTGTCCCATGCTGTCCCCACACGGTGATGTGTGGCATGGACGAGCCCACCAAGCCCCACTTGATGCCTAGAGAGGCTCCCTGGAACAGTGACAGTGTTAAAGGAATAAAGTTGGGATTTATTAAAAGGCCTTCCAAGGATTCACCTTGGCCAGTGCAAGACCCCAGCCGTGGCTCTGCCCAATGGACCCCAAGAGGGACCCCAAGAGGGACTCTGAGTCACAAGTTCTCACACTTTTATAAGTTTTGGCCCATTTCCATATTGGGGTTCACTGTCCAATTCCAGCTCCAGGTTATGAAGTCCCATCCTCCCAGATTGCTTGTTTATTCATTCTTATCTATATTACAGTGAGTTCTACAGCACTTCTAGTTAATAGGCTAGAAATGGGCGTGTATCTCTCTCTCTACAAGGCCTTTTAAGGGCCAATCTGTCCAATTAAGAATTAACACCTAAATTATTTTTACTTTTAACCCAATAACCAATCACCCGTGACCCACAATGCATATTTTTCTATCCAATTAAACAAGATTCCACCTAGACCCATGAAGAAGGTGGCGAAGAAGAAAGAAACCTCTGCTTGAAAACCTCCATCTTGCTATATTCTAAAACCTTAAATTCCAAATTCTTCCACCATGTGATAGTACACACTTCTATTCCAACTATGCACCAGTGATCCCAGATCTATCAATCAAGTTTGAAAGCCTTCTCCTCAGGTCAAAAGCAGTATTTTCCTGGAGGTCAGTGCCTGTCAGCACAAAGTCTAAAACTCTCAGTTTCCAGGGTTCCAAAAATTGCTCTCCTCAATTTGCTGCTGTCTACACTTTTTGGACATGAGGCTGCAGCGGTGTCCTTGGTTTTTGGGCTGGAAAAAGACTGTTTTGTCTAACTGAAGTGTGAGGAGAACTTGCTAATAACAACCCATAAGAAGTTCAGAGTCACACACCAGTGCAGTAGAGAAGGTGGGAAATGTGAAAGCTCAAACCGAAGGCGTGGCACTCACCCCGCTGCGCCGGGAGGTCATGGCCACCACGGGTGACCACTGGTTGGTGCGTGGGTTGTACCTCTCGGCACTGCTGAGCTCCGTGGTGTCATCCCTGCCTCCCACGGCGTAAATCATGTCCTGGTACACGGCACAGCCCAGGTGCTTCCTCCTCGTGCCCATGGGGGCTATGGTGTGCCAGCGGTTCTCCTGGGGGTTGTAGCGTTCCACTGCGGAGCAAGGGAAGGTCTTTGGTCAGCAGGGTGGGCAGGCAGTGGGTAGAGCACTTTTGGACCCAATTTCCACCCACCAAAAAATGCCATGAACCCATTTCTTCTCTCCTTTCTTCCAAAGAATTCCTGCTAGTCTCTCTCTTGTCTCCAGCATCAGTCACACTCAGATCTTCACTCAATGCTACAAATTGACCTGCAGCAGTTTTACCTTTGGTACCTTCTTTCCTACAGCAAAAATGGCTGCTGCAAGAATTTTAAAAAAGTGCTTGCAACTGCTATGCAAACAATCAAAGCCTTGTATTCAGGACATACTGCCAAATGAAGCATCGAGAAAGTAAAAATATGACACACAACGAGGTAATAGGGGCTCACAAGTCTGGAGAGTGAGTTATTGTATGGCAAAATAATATTTAAAGAAGAAAAAAACCTCCACAAACTGATCACTAAAATATTCAACAGTCATCTGGGGACATGACAGGCTCCCAGGACCAGGACAAACGCTGACTGGGATTAAGGGACAGCAAAAGGCATACCAGTATTGAGAGGAGATGTTCCATCAGAGCCTCCCACAGCATAGAGGAAGCCTCCCAGCACAGCCACTGCCACTCCCAGGCGCCTGGTGCTCATGGAAGCCACTCGAGTCCATTTGTTTTCTTTGGGATCATATCTGGAAAAAGAAAAAACACCAGAACCGAGTGAAGTGCTGACATCTTCACAAAGGGGCAGGAAGATGGACTTTATTGTCCCCAAACAAAAATCCCTGTAAGATTTGTACAGTTCCTATCTCCTCTCCAGCTTGTCTGCATCAGCTGCACCCTCTAAGAGATCCTCTTTCTTGCTGTGCCCCACTTTTTTTCGTTTTTTGTAATTAGAAAGTACCTCTCTACGATGTTGAGACAAGAGACACCATCCTGGCCACCCACAGCATAGAGGTAACCTCCAAGAACTGCTACTCCAACACTGGTCCTGCAGGTGCTGGTGGGAGCCACATCACTGCTCCACTGATTGGTCTTTGGATCATACCTGGAAAAAAACCACACCAAACAGCACAAATTACCTGCCTAGATCTGCTTCAGACTCTCCCATGCTTGGGAGCTCTACTTGAAACTTGCCCATCCTGACCTTCAACTGCAACACAGCTCTGTAAGCTGGATAAAAGCCTTGAAGTGATACAATGCATCCAGTACATGTTATTCCAGGGATGTTCAAACTGCAGGTTGGGATGAATCAAACTGAAGATCAAAGGTTCAGGTTCCTGAGAGAGACTGGCTGGCGTGTGGGAGCTTGCAGCAAAGAGCAGCAGCCAGAGTTAACTCTGCTCTGTTCCCTGCTGCTCACACAGGAACTCAGCCAGCACTGGGACTTCCAGATAAAATATAGAGGAACAAGATAGACTTGGGAATCCAGAGACAAAGAAATATAGTGCATAGCAAGGAAGTGAAGGATGTGGGAGATACAACACTAGGGTCATGATTTGGGAAGCTGGGAGCATTCGAGGAGATAGATGGGAAGAAGGGGAGGCTCGAGGTGGGAGGAGGTATTTGTACAGCTCACTGGGTTTGTTACAGGGCCAAGATTTAGAGTAGTAGGAGAGCCTGAGTCATGTGGCTTTCAGGCATGGGAATTGCCCTGTGCATCTCCCAGAAATAGGAAGCTTGGCAAAACTTGTTTGACTTTAATCTTTCACAGGCCTAAAACTGACCTATTTTCCTTCTGTCTATGTGCCAAGGTTCCTTAATTCTCAGGTTGCTGTTTCACAATAAAATTCCAGGATCTTTCCCTCAGCATCTATGAAATGCTCCCTGTAACCTCACCTTCCTCAACAACACCACTAAAATCAAACCCACAATTGCAAGGAAGGTTAACCAGGATCACCACTCCTTCCAACAATACACCCAGGTCCACCTCCTGGTCCCATTAATCTGGGGATAATGTGACACAATGTGTTTTGCACCAGGGGTGTGCAAGGCAGGAGGAAATGCCAAAATGAACTCACACCTAAGGGGCTGCACACAGGTTTAAATATCCAGAGCTGAAACTGTGCACAGGGGCTTTATAGAGACCTACCTTTCCACACTGTTAAGATAAGAGGAGCCATCATGGCCTCCCACAGCATAGAGGAGGTCATCCAGGACACTGACTCCAACACCACAGCGCCTCTTGCTCATGGAAGCCACCATCCTCCACTCGTTGGTCTGGGGGTCGTAGCGCTCCACGCTGGAAATGGCGTCCCCGCTGCACCAGCCCCCCACTGCAGCCAAACACCAAAAACAGGGTCACAAAAACACAAACTGCCTGTGCTCCTGGCACAAATCACCCCCTCAGACTCATCTCTAAGTCATCCCTCCTGAGGTTTGTAATTACAAAATAAAATGAGATTTTCCAAGAGCATGGATTGAAGTTTGGAAGTGCTACGGCATTCACAGCACCAAAGAAACCACGTAAGAAAGCTAAGTTAACTCAAACTTTCAAATATTAATGCACAGGTCACAGCAGAAATAGCTTGTGAAGACTTAATGAGAACACCAGAAAATCCTGCCTGGAGTCTCCTGGCCTAAGCTAGTGGGAAAAATACATAGAATCAGAATATCCTGAGTTGGAAGGATCAAAGTCCAACTCCTGGCCCTGCACAGGATAGCCCCAAGAATCCCACCATGTGCCTGGGAGTGTTGTCCAAATGCTTCCTGAGCTCTGTCCTACCTGGTGCTGTGACCACTGCCTTGGGGAGTCAGGTCCAGTGCCAGACTCTACTGTGGGTGGAGAACCTTTATAAAATATCCAACTTAAGCCTCCCTTGACACAGTTCCAGGCTATTCCCTCTATTGCTGGTTACCAGAGAGCTGACATCAGTGCCTGCCCCTCCTCTTCCATTCACAAGGAAGCTGTGAGCTCTCCTCTCGCTCTCTTCTTCAGGCAGAACAGACCAAGTGACCTCAGCCTTCCTCACAGAGCCCCTCTAGACCCTCCAGCACCTCCTGGTGACAGCACACACACACGTGCAGGGACACACACCTGCAAAGAGCACCTCTCCACAGCGGATGGGTTTGCGCGGCCTCGTTCGCGGTCCCTGCATCAGCGGCCGCTCCTGGGGCAGCAGCAGGTAGTTTTTGGCTTCATCCACCAGATCCCTGTGCAAGACAGGGAAATATTAAGCCCCAGAGCTCAGTCTCAGGAGAAGGGGAGAATCAGAACTGATGGGAAGAGCAGTCAGCACTAGTCATGCAGCTCAGGTATTCACCAGTCGTATGAGAAGAGCATGAACAGCTCCGGTCAAACGCACGCTGTCACCTAAATACTCCTCAGTTGTTTACAAGCCACTGACACAGTGACAGCAACAATCCAGCACCACTGCTTGGCCAGAGTTAATAATAGATATAGCTTGCTATAAAAAGACGGATTAAAAAAAAATTACAAGAGATTTATCAGGCTTACTGTGCAGAAAAGAAAAATCCAGCCTGCCTCAAGCTAAAACTTAACAGTCAGTGGTTCTCTTCTCTCACAAGAGAACAGGAGTTGGAAAGCACACAAGTACATAATACACACATGACCAATAGATGGAGATAGTACCCTTCTGATGAGTATTTTCTCCATCAGCTCTGGCCAGCTCACACTGTCCATCCATTCATGACTTGCCACCTGGACTAATCCTAATATTCCAAACCCTTGAACAAAACAAAAAAGAGCAAAAAAGTCCTCCTTCCCTCTACAAATGTGGAATTCCCCCAGTATGAATGCTTATTCAGGAAGAGAACAATTTAGCCTATGCCCTGAACTTCTTTACAATATGCACAAGATAAACCATGTGCTTTGTGGATGATACAGAGCTCTGTAGAACCAGAAAGGTGAGACTCATACCTTCCTCATAAGAAATTACAACTTCCCTGTATTATTCTTGTGGAAAAGAGCAGACTCTAATCCCAGAGATCAATTCAGTTATCAAAGTGCAGACATTCTACATAGAAAAACGACTTCAGATCCCACTAAGATCATCAGGAAAGCCATGTGAGAGCTAAGCTGCAGTAAAACGCCATGACTAGAAGGGGAAAAAAAAAGGCAAAATGAAAATCAATACACTGAAAGGTCTTTCACCAGCAGTCAAACTGCACACTCAAAGTTTGCTATTTAATTGGAAACTTAAAGAACAAACAAAATCACTTCCAGGGTACACCAGCGACTTTTATGCAAATAGAAAACTATTTTTCTTGCTTCTCCTATCCTCCCAGTTGCCAAAGATAAAATTGTGAGGCATCACCCTTTTACCAGTGACAAATGAGCACAGTTTCAGAGGACAACATAATCCAATTCTGTAAATGGCTCAGGAGATTTACCTGCATTCCTCATCGCTCTTAATGAGTGGATCAGAACCCACTGTACCCACAAGAAACTTGGGACTCAGCAGGGGCAGGCGGACGTGCTGTAGGACCTAAAACACAAACCAGAACACCTATGGTGAAACCAGAGATGCAAGAAGCCAAATGGAAAACAACAGAATTTTAGTTAAATGCAGCTTGTGTCACAGCACATTTGCCTTTTCAGTATCCCAGTTTAGATACCCAGCAGAAAATCAGCCTTTGGAAAGAGACAATCCACTGGATCTATTAACAGCTGAAAACCTTTATAAAATGACAGATGACAAGACATCTGCCTGAACACTAATTAAGTTAGTGGTTTTATCATTTAGCTCTCTTAAACCTGAGTGGTATCACAGAGTAAATGAACAGTAAGAAACAACACGTCTTTCACAAGGGTTTAGAATTTAAAGGCCCAAGCACGTATAGACAGAAGCAAACAGTTATAAAAGCATTAGAAGCTGCCTTGAGAAGAGCAGCTTTTTCCAGTTTGGTTTGTTTACTTAAAACCATTTTCAAAAGCCTTCCAGTAAATAAAGTTTCATTTAATGTCTCTTTCCAAAGCAGAAACAGCGAGGCAGGCAGATGCTCACCTCTTTTGATCAGCCAGCCTGAGACTTCAGAGGCTTTGGGCTGACAGCTTTGTCAGAATGGGTTCTGCTCCGTGAAATGCCTTGGCTTAGATGAAGCATCACATTCCAACAAAACCATTCTGACAAGCTCCACTGTAACATCGTCAGGGCTGAGGCACAAATCAAGCAGCAGAGCTTAAAGAAGCACCGCAAAGCAAGACAAGCCTTTTCTTTTCCACTGTGGTTTTGATACGACTCTCCAAGCAGTGCAGGCAGGTTTATCTGGACAGACTGCTGGAGTGAGCTCGTTTGGCAAGTCCTACCTGGAAACAATCCAACAAATCCCCTAATGAAGGCTCTGGCCAGCCTAGATGAAGGGACAGTGCAAGTCACCTAACACAGGTGGGAGTCAGAGTGAATTTCAGTGGCTTTATATCACTCAGAAGTGCTCTGGCACCACCCTACCATCCCTCATTCATCTCCCCCTAGAAAAAGCAGCCTGGAATGTCACTGTGCCCAAGATTACCTGTGGCAGCTGAGGCCTTCTCTCCTGGATGCTGTACTTCACCCAGGCCATCACGGCGTTGAACACCTGCTCTTCGCTGCGCACATTTAACTCGTCACTGGATATGATGTCTATCAGCTGGTTGGCAGGAAGCAGCATGAACTCCTCGCTCTCCATCACCTGGGAAAGGCAGAGGGAAAAGGGAGGGAATAAGGACAAAGCATCAGAGCCACTCACCACTCCAGCACTTCACGGACTGACCCAGTAAAAAGCCAAATCCCCATCAGTACCAACATACGTGAAGGGTTTTCCGCATAGGGCAGAACGCAGCCCCCAGCAACACAACAAGACACTTCTAGATGGGCATGCCTTTTACAGTCTTTGGCACTTTCAAAGGGTTAAACCACAGGAGGCACTGATCAGGTTTCAAAATTCAGGAAAAACAAAGCCTTTCTTTAAAATGAGTCTCCTTGTTTGCCGTGTCTAACACATAAAGCGGAAATAAAACTGCAATAAATACGTGACTAAAAAGCAGCACTGGAGTGCAGAGATTCACAAGGAAAGCAAAACAGAGCACAAAAATAAGAGTCTCAAACAAGTTACCAGAGGCATTGCAGAGAACACAGAAAGCCTGATTTGTGGCAGAACAGAAAATATTTCAGGAGACTCATCTGATCCTGCCTCTTTCATTTGCTCTAAATATACACATGGAGTATGCAGTAGTCGAGATGCACTAAAGAGGGAATCAGAGCCTCCAGAGCCCCTAAGGACTGATCTCTTGTGAAAGTCAAGCCACTGACAAACACATTAATTCCTTCAGCATCCAAGATAGCAACCAAGTTTCTCAGGAGGCCTTGGCTGCTGCTGGAGGACTGCTCACACAGCATGAGTCAGTCAGACTGCCCTAGGAGCTCACACACCACCACAGCTCCTGCACGGACACCAGGCAGATAGATGGGAAAGGTGCAAGAATCAAAATTAAAAGTGCAGAAATGGCCTGACTGATAACTGCCAGCTCGCCTTCCCTGCAAGCACTCCCAGTCTGTAGCCTGCAATTTCCAAAAGGTTCAGGGACAGAAGATAACTGAACGCTGGTTTGTCCTTATCATCCGTGACCACATGAGAATTCCGTGACTTATTTCATGATTTGCTGCATAAATTAAAGAAAAACACCCTTTGACACGATCATCTCAACAGCAATCAGCTGTGCAGTCCTTTTAATTACCTGAAGAAGTTATCTAAGGGCACAGAACAAATATGCAGCGACCGTCAAGTTGCTGACGACAGAAAATATTGTTAAAAAATAATCGAGTGGACAATGAGATCGGTTACCAGACTTGGTTCTTGGGTACCCTGAGCTTTTGGGGACAGTGAAGGCCACTACAAGGTTGGCCCACACACTCCTTCAGCATTTAAGTAGGAAATGGGTTGGTCACTAAAGATCTTTATCAGTTTTTTTCCATAGTCTCCCTCTAACAAAGCTTATGTGTAAACTTTAGTCTGATGGTTTTTAAATGCAGCTTCAGAGTCTGAAAACAGCAGCTGTGGAAATTCCTGAGTTAAAGATGCTCATCCATTCCCTCCCTTTGACCCTCAGGACACCCAGTTGCACTGAAGGCCTCACGAAATTCAAAGCACTCAAAGCACTTCTTTAAACCAAATTATTACTACTGTGTAACTTGTTAGTTTACATAGTAAAACAAATCATTATTTAAAATGCTTTGGCTTATTTAGGCTTAATTATCAGGACACTCATAATTACCTGACTAATATTAATGATCTACTTGACTGACTTGCTTAGTGGACAAGAATTGGCTGGATTACACTTCCTCTGCAGCATTCCTAGATATCAGTGCTTTTACAAACAGAAAGAATTCATGTCAGACTATAGAATATGGAGTGCAATTTTTGTCTGTTGATAAAAGCACAAGTTTTCCACCCATAAATATGATTTTTCCCTTCACACAAATGTCAAGAGACAAAAAAAACCTAAAAATATAAAGGCTGTTCTTATATAGTGGAGTTGTTAACAGAACCATTTCACATTACATGCACAAAATCCACTAGGGGTTATAGGCAACAAATTAAATTGGGAGGAATGGAAAAAATTGAAAAAACATTTTACCAAGAAGTTAATGATGTAATGCAACAATACACATAAAAATTAAAAAAGCAGAGGTTAGCACAGCAGAGGGCACAAAGCAATCCAAACAGCATTCAGAGTAACTACATGGGCTGGCCTGGTGCCTGCTGCTTAATATTTCACATTGCCACCCAGGAAATTCCCAGCTCACGTTTCTTTCTGCCAGCTTGGAGGAATGACAACCATGCAGCCTCCACACAGGAAGGCGAATTTTTTATCAGTTTTCAACCTCCACAATGGAGGATGGTTAAATAGACAAGTGCCTGGCTTCCCCCAGGGATCACCAATCCACTCTCCAGATGGAAAATACTGCCAGAATGGAATACAATCCCAACGAGCAGCACCACTGACATCTGTCTGCAGAGAAACAGTGGAAGCAAAAGAAGTGATTATGAAGGATGAAGAGCTGCAGAACTCCTGAGGCACTGAAATGGACACCAAAACTTGCCCAGGCCAAAGAAATAGTGTTCTTATCTCCAGAGGCTATGTTTAAGTTAAGTCAGTTATAATTTGCATCATCTTCGAGGAATAGTGTTCTCTTCTCTTTTGCCTTTGTGTGCTTTAACAGGGATAAGGAAGACAGAAAGTTGTCTTCAAGGGACTGCAAAAGAAAAGAAGCCCATAGCAAGCAGCTCTTACAGCCAGCTGCATGTATTAGTGCTAAAACATTTTAAAACAAAACTGTCAAGCTGATAAAATGTTATTTAGAGGCTTGTAAGCATGCCCTACTCATATAATAACAAGATCTAATAACCAGTAAAACAACTAAGCACTGAAAATAAACAACCATCTGGATAGCGTCTTGTCCCCCCTCCCAAAAAAAAAAAAAAAAAAAAAAAAAAAAAAAAAAAAAGCAGAAGAAAAGAAGTGCAGAGCAAGCACAGAGCACATGAAGTGGCCAGCTAAAATGTAGGGGTTTGGGAAACCACCAAGTTCTACAGAAAACAAACTCATCCTATTTGGATGCAAATTCTATTTGGTTAGAAAAGATGTATTTAATTGCAGCTTTTGCAGGAAGCTGATGTTGTGTCCACAGTTAGATAGCAAGAACTGTCTTCACTGTGTCCAACAGTCATGTTCTCTTGTGTTGCTCCTGCAAAGATTTTTCTTAAAATTAATACAATTAATACAATGAAAATTAATACAATTCCAATTTGCTTCTTGCATGAGAGACAAGCTGCCATCACTCACAGCACTTCCATACTGCTGCTTCTCTTGGGAAACTGAATTAGCACCAGGAGTTCCTCTCTTTAGAAAGGATCTCCCTGTGAAGCTGGTGGCAAGAGGAGCTTTTTCTACAGCAGTTCAGTAAAGACCCACTCTGACTATTGCTCACACAATCCTTAATTATTATGTTGATCCTTCTCTGAACCAGCTGCTGGCATTTTTTTCCCCAAAAAATAGTCTAGGCAAAATCAACAAAGGATGAGAAACTTGAGTTTATAAAGGTCAGCTACAATATTACACATCTGAATTAATTTCAGACAGCTTCTGCTGAATAACAGATGCAAAACTCTAGTTCTGCTACAACAAGGGATTTGAAGATTCCCCTGAGGCAGCCTCATGCTTCCCCAAATACCCTCTTTTCCAATCCCGGAGCTCAACATCAAACTTTTTGGGTTATATTGATGTGTTGTCATCACTTTTAACACCTGCCTCCCCTCCAACCACGTAGCATCCAGAGTATTTCTGAAAGAGGAGTGGAATGTCACACCACTGTGCAGGCACGACAGATTCAAGGCCAAATCCAACTGCACCCACGACTTTGCCTCCCACATAGCACTGACCACACATCTTTCAGGGAAGAAATGCTTTGTATCAAACACAAACCACTGCTACAACACAGGCCTGCCAGCCCTCTGTCCTTTTTTAACATCTGGCACCCATCACCATCAGGGCACAGAGCAGCTGTAAAGGCAGGATTGAGAGTTGCTGAAAGCTCTCACAGGCCATGTTGATGTATTTCACATTACAATTGCAGCTCCTTACCTCCTGGAAGTTGTGCTGTGTGAATTTGTCAGCAATCCTCAGCAGTTCACGGCACGAGTGAGTGTCAGCAAAAGCCCGGATGCCCAGGCAATTGGAAGGGTCCAACTGTCTCTTGAGGAACTCACAGCAGGCCTCCTGGATCTCGGCCAGCTGGAGAAGGCAAGCAGCAGGCAACAAGGTCTGGACATTCCCCTCTTCCACAGTGATCTGCGATGTGTAGGCGAAGTCGATGAGCAGCTCCATGGCCCGCTCGTCGATGTCCCTGATCACCACCTCGGTCTGCCGCGACTCCGCCAGCTCCCCGGTGAACATGGCTCGGAAATAGGGGCTGCAGGCCGACAGGATCACCCTGTGGGCGTAGATCTTCTTGGCCCCCACTACCAGCACCACATCGCAGAGCTCCCGGTGCTTCCTGAGCAGGTTGATGACCTCCAGGGTCTGCCGGGGGTGCTTGTCGGAGATGTAGGGCATGCGCGCGGGCTGCGGCACGCCTTCGGGCAGCTTGTTGGGGTCTCCGAGGGTGCAGCGGCTGGTCACGTCCATTCCGGTCTCTCCTGGGCGAGTGCTGGCACACCTGCAGCGCAGCAGATAAAAATACAGCACCATGGTCAGGGATCGCAGGGGCAGCCGCGCTCCGGAGCTCCGCGGCCAGCGCCAAGCACCGGCAGGGCCCGCGAGTCCACGCCGGGGCGTGAAAACAAGCACGTGACCACATGAAAGAGGAATCCATCTCCAACCAAAGCTGGCTTAGAAGTAAACAAATGCCAACTTGCAGCAGGCTTCTATTTATTGCTATTTTTATATGCTTTCGATGACACACGGCTGTAATATCCAGCTACACATACATATTTATGAGCTGAACCTCACCATAGCCTTGTGGGGTAAAGGCACATTATCCCCATTTCACAGAGTGACTCAAAGCACAGATCAGCTGACTTGTCCGCTGTCAAGGGCTGGAGTTTTCTTTGACAGAGCTGGAGATGGATTTCCACTGCAAAGAGTTTCAGCTCTGTGATTTAACCAAACTTCCCTGTTCTTCTACCTACGTTTTTAATGGGGTCACTCATCACTGTAATGTCTGAACACGCTCAAGTGTCACACAGACTTTGGGAGCTCCAGATGGCCTGCAGACTACCACGAGCATCTTTCAGGTTCACAGAATACCCATTTTAATCATCACCTCTTCAATTGTTTTTGAGTTATGGAGGCTCCTGACTCCAATCCACCCTCCCTGACACGTGTCAAAAGAAGGTTAATCTTCCCCAAGAATGGCAGAAGGCAGGCCAAACCAAACCAAATCAAATCAAACAAGAAAAAGATAAAACAAGTATCCACCACTATCAACCTACCAAAAAAGGAAGAACTCTAGAGGAGAAGAATCACTTAAGAACATGTCAGCTAAGTTACTGGCATAGAGAGGAAACACAGTAAGTATCTTCCCAGTACCATATGCAATTAATGAAAAACCAGGAAACTTCTGCCTCTTCCCACATCAAAGGAAAATCATCACTTAGAGCAATTAAACATTGACCAAAATATCAGAATATTGACGGTTTATGGCCATTGGAGATGTACTGAAAGACCCAAAACATGCTGGCCACTACCAGCTTTTCCCTGGTGCACTGGCATTTGTGAGCTGTCACTACCTCACTATTCATATTAAGAGTTAAAAAGAAATCAAGCTTAGCTTTGCCATGGCTCAATGTAATTTGCAGTAGACTTGAAGGAAAGAAAAAAAACCACACCTCACATCCTTTCCCCTCATTATTATGTAAAATGCACTTCCTAAGCACTGGGAAACCAGTCTCCTTGCAGCAGTTCAAATTATTCACTTGAATCTTAGCCTGTTTTTCCCATTCCCTCCACACCCTCTCCTTGATCATCATATTCAGATGCTTTAGACCATTACCTCTTCCTCCTATCTTAGTTACACAGATCCAGCTGGAGCTCCCCTCTGGGTTTTGCTGCTTGCTCTTGCTCAGCCTCTGCACCTTAAATGTCTTGGGTTTTTATCCCTGCTCCATCTTTTTTACATCCATCACTGTTCTGCTTTCCTGACACCTCTGAGAAATCCTTCTGCTCTTACACTGCCTCTCACTGTCCTCCACCCACTCCTGTCCCTCACAACCCAAACTCACCTTTGGGGGTTTGACAATCATTCCCAAAGCTCTGCCAAGTTCCTCACAAACAATGCATAAATTAAACTCCCCTTGCAACAATACACACAAACCACAATTAATGGTACCCCTACAAAAACCCCAAGAAACCTCTGCTGAAGATTAATTTACCTAATTGGCTTATTTTCATAGTCCTTAGCAGCCAAGACCAGAAGGTAAGTAATTTAATCCCTCTACCAAAAGATGGAGGAAGGTGGTGACAAACATTCCCCTGTAGAGTCTGGCTCTTGCTAAGCAAGTTAAGTCGATTTTATTGTGTATTAAGCGTTTTGAACTATGTCAAACCAACCCTCAGAAGAAGAAAAAGAATAAGAACAATAAGAACACAATAAGAGCTCTTTTAAGACACATGCTACTACACTTCTGGACAGTTTGTCTTGACCGGGCTGTCAGTCAAAGCACAGAAGAAGCATTCTTCAAATAAAAACCCATTTCATGTAACTGCAGCTCAGAAGAGATGGTGCACACCCAGGACAGGGCACCCTTTTGGAAAGCACACAACCCCTCTGTCACACCTGTAGGTTTTCCTCAAAGACATCTCCCACTAAAAACAGCCCTAAAACAGACCTCAGAATGGCACAGGTTCTAAGCACAGATAGATTAGATTAAGGTCATGCTGCCAGAAGAAATACACAATATTCCTGCCAATCCCACAGCCTGAGACTCCCTGCCAAGGCAGGGCAATGGGATGTACCATCTTGTGCCATGGGATTAATTGGCCAGATTTAGGCAGATTTAGCCCTTGTCTTCCCTAGCCAGGACAGAACAGGATTTTTCTGCCCCAACGAGGCCCTGCTGAACACATCTTTTAACTCACTGAAAAGGCATCTGGTTAGCAAGAACTGAAGTCATTCCTGCATTGTTCCCACCAGCATTTATCTGAGAGCCTGCATTGTACCCAGCCTCCTTACTCCTGGGGAGAAAGTGCTGGTTAATGATTAAAGAAGACTGAATGGATGGAAAAAAGAGTAACAACCAAACAGAGCGTCCCTGATTCATCCATAACTTATCTCTGGGTGGTGCAGAAGCCAATGATCAATTGGCTTAAGAATTTCCAAGCTGGATCAACCCAGATGCTGGATGTGAAGCTCGGTGGGCTGCTGCTACACACAGGCACAGAAGTGTGAATTTAAAGGACAAGTCTGCTGGCTTGTGTCTCCACAAGGATCATAATTCCACTGCATTATGAGTGCATTATGCATAAATATGCACAGAGAATGAAATGATGAGTCAGTAGCTTAGAGGTGTGAAAGACAGAAGGCAGCACTTGATTCTCACATGGCAGGGGAGCTGCCTCCCCCCACACAGAAGTCAGAGCTGCTCCTGAATAGCCGGGGTGATTAAGGAGGGCTGAGGATCCAGAGGAAATGTGTGTGTGCTCGGATAAAACATTCACACCCAGCTATGCAGATATTCTGGGATTAGCTTCCACCAAAATGCAGGGCTGGGGAAATCAGCAAATACAATGGGATTAAGAAAGGGCTGACAAAGGATCAGTTTTTGTAGCACACTGCTGAGAAGTACAAATGGGAACACAGGCAGCCTGCAACACTAAGTCAGCTAAATAAACAGGCTGCTCTGCCTCCATTTTATTCCACTACACCAGTGCCCAAAACTTCATTCATTAACAGGGGCATCTATGAGACATCCATCCTTACAGCAGCTCCTCCCAAAGTTCAAAAAATACCTAGCAACACACATCTAGGGAAGAAAATCCCCTCCCATGCTGTCATAAGGGCATCTTAACTTTCAAATCTGCATTTTTTAAAGACAATGTGTGCTTTAGCACAAGATTACAAACAGGCTTTAACACAGTTCAGCAGAAAACAACAGGCTGACCTAAGGCTTACAAAGCACCTGTCTCAGGCTAAAAACATCAGCTGAAATCCAAAAAAATCATACATATCTGGAGAGGATTTCAGTAGCAAATAAAAATAACGAAACAAATGGGTAGTGACTTCTGTCAATGCTTTGATTTCAAATTAAGAAATATTTCCTACAGTCATTACAGAACTGCAAGAAGAAGAGCCATTGATTTGGCCCAGCTTTTGGCAAGAGAAGTCCCCACCACAACATGCCAACCAAGTAAATGGAAATGCTTTATTGCAGCATCAGTACTCTCGGAATTAAGTTAGCTAAAAGTCTGATTATCAGGAAAAATACCAGTGATTCATTTTCTTGCCTAGCAAGGTTTCAGTAAACTTTCTCAACAAAGATATGCAAACATGCAGATAAACCTAGCTGAAATACTATCTTACATTACACAAAAGGAAAACAGCAAGGATCTGGTGTATTTGCCCCTAATCACATTGCTTGGTTTGACTTTTTACTGACCAAGCCCAGAAAACTCAGTTTCACCCTGACTGAGGAAAATATCCCAGTCAGGGTGAAACCGAGGATGCCCATACTCTGAAAGAGGAGATCATTACTGGAGTCTTCCAAAACCTTCCTGAGCCTTTTGTAGTTTGTTTTAGGCAAGAACTATGTCCAGGTAGTTGGATAAGCTCCTGAGTGCATGATCAGGACCTGAAGCCTCCTTCCTCCTGCCGGGTCTGGCTGCTCAAGCCTGCTCTGATACAGCACTGCTGCAAGCTGGGAAAAGGCTGCCAGGAAAAAGCTGGGTGAGAAAGAGCTGGGAGAGCTTCCCCACTTTGTCTGGGAGCTGCTCAAGCCCTCATGCCCGAGCTAAGTTAAAGATATGTCTGCATCTGACTGTGCACCCACCCATTCTGAGCTGATTTCCCTGCTTCCTTCCTCATCCCTACCTGCCCGAGGAGTCCAGGACTCCTGGCTGGCCCTGGCCATCAGATCTGCTCTGCCCTCCTTGTCTGGGTGCTGTGGGACTGTGCCCTTCACTGAGAGCTCCCTGCTGCCTTGTTTTTCCCTTCACCAAAGCCACATTCTCTTGCTTCTCCCTGAGAGCAAGCAAGAACAGCCTGGCCCAACCACCCTTCATTCCTAATGCAGGGTAAATCCTGTTTGCAGCAGCAATTCGTGTTCCCTGCTATAATCTTGACAGGAATAGCTGGAATTCCTTGTCTGTTCAAGCTGTTCCTCCTCCCCTCTGAATGCTGTACACATTTGATACCACCTCACCGTGTTTTTTAACCCACTACTGGCCAAGCCCCACTCCCCTCTTGGTGCAGGACCTAGCACAACCCTCATGTGGGGGTGTTAAATTGGCTTCAGAGCCCTGAGTAAAAGGATAAAAGAAAGTGCTCTGCCATCTGCTTAGCTGGAGTTCACAGGAAGATCTGTGCCCAAAATCCAATCAGGAACCTTTTATCATTTTCTGCTAAGACAGGCAATAGGAGGAGAACAAACAGAAATTTTAACAACCCACACTGAGGCCCTTAAAAAAGGCAAGTGTATTCAAGAACTGGAGTCCACATCTCACAGCAGAGATGTGCTTGTCAGGCCAGGCTGCAGCAATAATAAAAATCCTCCACTTCTTCAGCTCTGTGCTGCTGCCCACCACAAAAACTAAAACTGTTCTGTCTGACTGGCAGACAGAACTTCCACAATAACAAGTCCAAGGCCACAAACTCCCAAACAGACACACGAACTCCAGCATGAATTCTCTGCCATGGTGCAACACGCAGAAAACAGCGGGCACAGAAACAAATTTAGAACCTCAGTTTCCCTATCAGGAACGCAAAAAGTAAGGAGAAAACAACAACACAAGCCAAGCTAGTCACCAATTCCATGTCATTCTGCAAAAACATCTTGATAAATGGAGCACAACATCAAAACCTAAAAAGCTGCGGGTTTATGTTGGTTAAGATTTAAACAATCTCCAAAGAAGAAGGCTACAGTGAAAGACAGCTCATCTGCTATTTAACCCATCTTGGAGGAAAAGGAATTCACTGTAACAGTCACATACAGCTCCTCACTGACCAAACCACATTCCTTATCTTAGCAAAAATGCAGCACAATACCCGGGCTCAGTGATGTCCCTGTCATATCCCAGGTTTACTCACTGCTGAACTGAAGCAGTGGCACAGCAAATTAAATTTATTAAAATTCATTTAATTAAAACGACATCATGCCATTCTTCGAAGGTTTAAGTGACTACTTACTTCTTGTCTCCTCACACAGAATCCAGGCTAATGGTTTCTGTGGCTAAAAATGCTCTATATATTAATCTATGGTTTAAAACCTTGCCTTCTCTTACACGAGTGTTTACAGATTTGCCCACAATAAAGTTTTCCTTCTTTCAACATCCCAAAGAGCACAAACAGACCAAGCAAGCAAGCAATTCCTTTAGAGGTGAAGAACTTCAGGCAACTTGGCTTCCACACAGCCTGAATCATGTACAGAAATGATTCTGCTGTTAAATTCTGCCGTGGGATTGCCATCAAGAAAGGAAAACCAACAAGAACTAGCAGGGAACCCTGTTTGCAAACCTGTCATCGTGCTGAATTACTGTGATAACTTTTTCTCTATATGAGAGAGAATGTTTTTGAAACAACCACAGCAAGAACTCCCCTGAATTAAACTTCAGCTGCATCTCCAGCTCATTAGAACTGAGGCAGCTGGCATCCACAATTAGAAAAGGAAATCTCCTTTTCACCCAAGGCCTCACCAAATTCCTTTAGTTAAGGGGGAAAAAAATGCCCCTTGGAAATCACGTTTGAATTTATTCTCAGGCAGCTTATTTTCCACAGTTTGAATACCTAAGTAATTAAATACTGAATTTTAAATAGGACAGTAAATGGGGAAAGTGGAAAAGGGGATGGAGAATTACAGTAACTTGTCTTCCATACTCTTCCTGAAAGACATCTGGTCTTGTAAATATTGAAAACTAAATACATTTAAGAAAGGACTAAAGAGGAATTATTTATTTCCCGATTCCCCATAGCCAGGCTTTAAAAAAAAAAACAAAACCACACAACATTTTACAGTCCAGGCACGTAAAAAACCAACTCACATGATTTATCCCATTTGGGGAAGAGAAGAACAATTGTTTTTGTGCCTTACCTGCGCATTGGCTTTCCGTCCATGCACTGTGAAGAGAAACCTTCACCCTATACTTCAAGACCTGATCCGACAGAAAAAAAAAAAAAGAGAAAAAAGAAAAGGTGATTTCTGAATCAAAAGAACCTTCTTTCCCCCCTTCAATATCTCTATAAGAGAACAGAGCTGCAAACAACCACGTACTAATGTGCCTTTAAGCTCTTAACCAGTTCCAAATTCACAGCCCAGACTAACAACACCTGGACTGCAGAGAATAAAGCAGAAAAAACATCACCAGCATTAAAAATATTTTCACCACGGCTGCACAAAGATTCCTCACCAAACAGAACACACACATTATAAAGTCAGCAAACTGCCTGCCTCCCTGAATCCTTAAAACTATTCTACCAAAGGGAAAAAAATCTGAAGTAACAGGGTACTCACTCTCACTCCTTGCTGAGCCAGGAGGTATCTCTCCCTCACACATTTAGCAGAGATTTAAGGCAGGCTGGCACCTAATAAAGAGCACAGCGCTGCTTACCAGCTACACTGCAGAGCCAGAATTTGATAGAAGATAAAACTTGTGTCTGGAAATTGAAGATAACTGTGCCCCTGAGGTAAGAGGGATGCTAATAATGCTACTACATCTGCAAAGATGAACGATGCTGCCTGATGCTCACTGCACTTCCACTCCAAATATTCATTTTCTGAGAGTAATAACAGTTGCAAACTGCACAGGCCTTTCATATTCAACCACTAACTTCTAATTCTAATGTAAATTAACCCTTTTTGCAAGGGCATTGCTTGCCCCAATTTCATTTTCGGTAGCTATTTACTCAGAAATACATTTAATTGAATTATTATTCAAAGCAATAAGCCTAACTTTGTGTAAAAAAATCTATTAAAAGAACAGAAAGGTGTTCTGCTTCCACACTGATAGTCACAGGCTTCTACCCCTCCAGAAACAGAGTGAGAAACGGGAAACCACTGAACTATGGGAAAAGCAATGACAGAATGAGAATTAATTAAACCTTAAAATAAACTCAAGTAGCATTAAAAAGAGTGGAAAAAATTAAATTTAGGAAGAATAAGGTCATTTTTGGAAGATTGAAACTGTCAGATTGGAGCCTTGCATCCTACAATAAGCAAAATATTTTGGGCACGATTTAAATTAAACTACAGAACTGTTATAGCTCAGCTTGGCTACGTGAAGAAGAACCTCATTTCACACGCTAGGAGCATTATCCCAGACACACAAGCGGAGCTAGCTAATGAAGAATAAGCTCAGACTTGCTGTCTGCCACATTTGCAAATTACTCAGGTTCCTGCAAATAAAGAAAGGCAATTCCTGCCGGTTAGGGCCCCGCATACCGATTCGGAGGCGAGCTCGGGGCTCCGCGCATCCATCCCCGCATCCCGCCGGGGCTGTCCCGTGTGCCCGCAGCGCCGAGCGGCCCCTGCGAGCACTTCACACCCGCACGGCAGCGTGGACGAGGCTATTCTTAGCCCCCCGACCGCATCCGATTTAATCCCCTTAAACCCACGTTAGAAGCCGAGGAGGAGGGGAAAACGCACACGCACATACACATACACACGCATACACAAAATAAAGACATTTAAACCGCGCTGTCCGCGGGGCAGCAACAGGCTGAGGGACGGCTCTGCCGGCAAAGCGCGGCCCCGGAGCCCGCGGCACAACTCAGCTCCTGCGGGACGGGCACCGCTCCCCTCCGCCGGGCCCGGCCCGAGGGCCACCCCGAGCCCAGCCCAGCCCAGCCCAGCCCAGCCGAGCCACGGAGCCCACGCCGCCCCAGCCCGCGCAGGCCGCGGGCAGCGCTGCCCGGCTCACCCCGCGCCCCCCGGCCCGCGGAGCCGCCTCCCTCCCTCACGCCCTCTCTCCCTCACTCACTGACGCCGGGCGCGGGCTCCGAGCCGCCGCCGCTGAGCCGCGGTCCCGCAGCGCCGCCCGAGCGCGTCCTCAGCCGCAGGAAGCGGCGCTGCCCCCGCCAACCGCCGGCGAGCCGCGCCCGCCCCTTCCGCCCCCGGAGCCGCCGCAGCGCGGCCCGGGCCCCGCGTCCCTCACGGTGCGGCCTCGGCCTGCAGCCCGCGGGGAGCCCCCAGCCAGGGGCCTGCGGGCACGGGACCCCGCGGGTGCCGTCGTACAGTCAGAATCGAGGTTGGGAGAGAGCTTTGAGGTGACACCGAGTGCGGTCGTGCACCCAGCAGCGCTGCTGGAAGCGCTAAACCAGCGCCGGATCCAGACGCCTCTTAAACAGCGCCGGTGATGGTGACTCCAACACCTCCCTGTTCCAATGCCTGACCACCCCGACAGTGATTTTTTTTTTATTTTTTTTTTTATTATTATTATTTTTTTGGCTAATAACTAATCTGAATCTGCCCTGTCTTAGCTGGGCCGTTTCCTCGTGTGCTCTCAGCAGAAGATACCGGCCCCACCTGGCTGCACCCTCCTGTGGTGATGGAAAATAGCGATGAGGTCCTCCCTGAGGAGCCTCCCTCTCCAGGCTAAACACCCTCAGCTCCCTCAGCCGCTTCTCACGTGTTTTCTAGATCCTTCACATGCCTTGTTGCCCTTCTCTGGACACACTCCAGCACCTCAATGTCCTTTTTAAAGTGAGGCGCCCAGAACTGAACGCAGCACTCGAGGTGCAGCCTCACCAATGCTGAGTACAAAGGGGTGATCACTTCCCTAGTCCCCCTATCCCTCCATAATTCCAGATTAACAGCACTTCTCATTCTCAATGTGACTGAACTTGGCACATGCTGTGATTCTGGGCTGTCCCGTGCATGAGGAGACCTCATTAATGTGTATAAATATCCAAAGGGGAGATGCCAAGATGATGGAGCCAGGCTCTTAGTGGTGCCAACCACTGGGATGAGATACACAGGAGGTTCTGCCTGAATAGAAGGAAGAACTTCTTTACTGTGCAGTAATCAAGCACTGGAACAGATTGCCCAGAGACGTTACGGAGTCGTCCTGGGCAGATAATCCCAGACCTGCCTGGATACAAAGCAATGCCAGGTTCTGAAATGGCCCTGCTTTGAGCAGGGATGTGGGACCAGACACCCCCCTGTGCTCCCTCTAACCAGACCCATTGTGTGATTCTGTGCAGGGCCAGGGGCTGGATTTGGATGATCCTTGTGGATCCATTCCACCTCAGGATATTCTATAGTTCTGTGAATTTCTGGCTTTCCTCTTAATATGGGTGACCATTTTGGTAAGGTGACGGTGCCCAATGCCCGCTGTGTTCCTTAGTCCTTAGAACCTCCAAGGTTGGTGGGATCACACCTGGAAGAAGAGCAGATGTTTGGAAGTGGCTGGATAACAATGCCAATAGGAGTGTTTCCACCTCGACAGCAGTGAATTCCCTCCAGGATGACAACCAGTCACAGGGTGCCCCAGCCCACCAAAGGCTCCTGTGGTAGGGGCTCCTCCATTGCCTATGCCCTCTTCCTCTTACCTGTCCCCTCTGCCACCCTCCCAAAGGTGTTCCCAGGGCCCATAGGCATCCCAAAGGCCAGAAATCTCTCTCCCTAAATATGATAGTCAGAGCATGCCCATGCATCAGGCATGTCTGTGAAACTCAGCAAAATCCCTGCTAGGACCAGCCGACTTTGGGAATCTTCTTGCAAGGTTCGTATCAATAAATGTTCCTGTGGCACGTGTCCTTTTGGTATGAAGGGCATCCAGGGAAGGGGCAACACGGAAGGCAGGGGTGCCAGCCAGGCTGCTGTCTGTGAGCTTCCAGAATGTGTGTGTGTGTTCTGGGAGATGTGGGACAGAGCAGGCACCCCACAGGTGCCACATTCCAGGAGGAGGCCATCATTCCTGGGACACAAAAAGCCCCACCCCTTGTCATGGAGAGCTCTGACCTGCCCTACCTCTGGGCCAGCTTTGCGAGTACCTTGCCCAGGTGGACATGTCCTGGCTGCTCTGCTGGGCCTGGCTCACATTGCCCTCAGCATCTGGAGAAATGTGTGGGAAAACCAGAGAAGGGCCAGCAGTCTAAACCAGTCACACAGGAAAGGATGGCTTTGTGGGGTGCAGGTAAGGCCTGGCCCTGTCATTTCCAGGGATGGGGATAGCCAGCTTCACATTCCATGAGGACAGACTGCCAGGCAAAGTGCACCTTCCCATGTCCCCAGCTGTACAAGATGAGGGCCAAAACCGTGGTGATGCTCAGGACCAAAACCATGTTGATGTTTGGGGCCACCAGGCTTTTGCATCACTATTACCTGCAAGAGCTCCAGCATTACCAGAGGAAAGTGCCAGGAGTTTGGGAGTCTCCTCCAAGGAGGGACATGGCTTAGAGCCAAACTCAGAAGGGATAAAGCTGGCACCAGCTCCTCTCCCAGCTGAGAAATATTTCAAATTCAGAGACTGGCTGAGGTTGGAAGGCTCCTGGCAGCTCAGTTTGTCTAAGCCCATGCTCAGGTGGGGTTGTCTCAAACGAGTTGCCCATGAAGTTCTGCAGTTTTGGTATCTCCAAGAAAGAGACTCCATCAACCTCTCTGAACAAGCTGTGCCAGTGCTCCCTTACTCTCCCAACAGATGTTCCCTGATGTTCAGAGGGAACCCCTTTTTTCAGATTGTGTCCATGTCCAACTACTGGCTCTGTCTTTTCACCCTCCCTGCTGCTACTTCTGTACATTAATAGGACTCCCCCTCAGCCTCCTCCAGTCTGAACAATCCCACATTTCCTAATCTTTCCCCACAGGATTTTCATGACCCTTCCATGGACTCTAACCAGTAGCTCCTGTACTGGAGAGCCCAGAACTGGACACAGCATTCAAGTATGGCTTCACCTGAGCAGAGGGAAAGGATCACCCTAACCCAACACTTCCCCTAAAGCAGCCCAGGATACCATTAGCCCTCTGCTGCCTCCCTCCTGAACAACCAGGACCCTCACAGCCTTCTCTGTGCATTCCAGATGTCCCAGCATGTACTGGCACGTGGAATCATTCCTCCCCAAGTGCAGCACTTTGCCATTCCCTTTGCTGAACATCAAAACATTTCTGTCAGCCCATTTCTCCATCATGCAGATCTTCACTGAAGATGTCAGATGGGCTGGACCTAGTCACACAAGTTACTGCTCTTCCACCAGAGCTCACACCACTGATCACCACACTCTGGGACCAGTTTTCCAGCCGGTTTTCCATCGACCTCTGGGTTTATCCAGCCCGTACATCAACACTGCGAGGACGTTACAGATCCTATCAAATGCCTGACTCAAGCCAAGGTAGACAAGGTGCCCTGCTCTTCCCTCACCCACCAAGCCAGTCATTTCTTCAGAGGGTTATCAGGTCGTTTAAGCCTGACTTCCCCTTTTTGCATCCATGTTGACATCCAGTGCTTTGCCACAAACTTTGCTGAAAGCAGTCCCCCCTTGCCTGACACCCCGCTGGTGCTAATGCCACCCTGCCTGTGAGGTCTTTTGATGACTGTCATTTATTCAAGATACTTACTGGGAAGGACTGAACTTGTCCACCTCTGCTGTTCTGAGAGCAGAGAGGTTTCACAACAGCACCCCAAGCCACATGTGCACCAGGACTTGCTGAGTGTGATAGAATGACGTCTTGAGACATTTTGGGGTGCATTGTGTGGGGGAAGGGGTAGGTCAGGCCTTGCCCCGGTGAGGTCATGTCCTGCTCTGCACATCCCTCATTCCTAGTCTGTATCCCAGCCCTGCAGTGGCTGCCAGTTCCTGGCACACCAGAGGCAATGCTCCACACCTGCCCCTGGAGCCCTAACCAAGCTCCCCAGTGGCCAAAAGACTGGAAAACCCACCTGGGGCAAGGGCCCAGGAAGGCTAAAGAGGAGTAGCTAAAGCTGAACTCGAGGTGAGCACAGGTCTTGACCCTATCTCCTCTTGGAGTTTTCATCAGATGAAACACCTCTGGAACCCAGGAGGGGGTAGCTGTATGTGTCATTTTCTCTGTATTTTCTTGCTTTCTTCCTCTAATTCCCTCTTCTTGGAATTCATGAATAATTTAAAATGGAATGGGCTTAAAGTTTGCAAAGTTGAATGGGCCAATTAAATGCTTCAAAATAAGTGTTTTATGTTGAGTGCGTGCTGCTTTAAACCTTTTGCCAAAGTTCTTTGATTTTCTAAATTTGCCAGTAAGGTCTTTTTGGTTGTTTTGACCTCTCGAGAGTATCTTGTCAGTATTTCTCCTGTGCATCTAATGCAGAACACATCAGCAACCATCAGCTTTTTTAAAAGCCTTGTCGGGTGAGTTTTTTGGGTATTACAGTGGTGGGGGACCAGCCAAAAGCCAGAGCTGCTGCCTCCTTCACCAAAGCACTGATCTGTGCCAGCAGCTTTGCTCCAGGTCTGGCTTAGACTTACAGAACTAAGACAAGGTTGGCCAAGTCTGCTTCTATCCTAGGACTGCAATCAGCACCAAACAGGAGACAACACCAGCATCCATTTCTTCTGTCTTTATTCACTGGGGAGAGGAGGCCAGTATTTTATCTTGTCTTCTGCATGAGCCCTGAGAAGCATCACCAGTTCTGCAGGGCTTTGGTCCCTCTTACCTACCCAGAATGAGGCGGTGCCAGCCCTTGGCAAAGCTGACATGCCTGGAGAAGTGTTGGCAGACAGGGAGAGGGATAAAAGGCTGCCTCATCACAGAGCAAGAAGGAGTGAGTCTGCCCCAGCAGCAGTCACTGGGGGGAGGTGTTTCCTTTCTTGTTCTCTCCAAGACCAAAGCTTGTCCCAGCTCACATCAGGCTGGAGAGCAATGGAGCATGGTCCATTAAACTCTTAACCACAGAGCAAAACCAATTCTCTGGAAAGACTGAAGAAACCATGAGGGAACAAGGCTAAGGGTCTCTGCTCCAAGCTTTGTGGGATGCCTGTGAAATTTTGGGTTTGGTAGGGCAAGTCAATCTTAGCAGCACTGACTGAAGGATCTTTGCTGGCTACCATGCCACCAAGCCAGAACTGCCCCACCTTGCAGGGGGCCTCTCCAGGCATCCCTAAATCTGCAGTACAACCCCACCAGACCCCTCTGGACATGGCTGTTGTAGCACCACCAGGTTAGGGGAGACTAACTCTCACCCTGGGCAAAGGAAGGTATTTCCTGGGCAGCCCTTGGGACAAGAGACTGCAAAGACAGTGTCCTCTCCAGGACAGTGAAAGGGACACAGGATACTAAAAACAAGGAGCAGAGGATTGCTGGGCAGCCAGTTTCACACTACCCAGGTGGGACCTGTGGATGTCCCACACGAGGATGCAAGGCAGCCCAGGGACCACTACACACTGCTGAGCCCTTCAGAAAGGCAGCTCAGCAGCTGCCTTTTATCATCCATTGTCCCTTCCCTTTAGAAGAGGCTGGTTGTCCCTTAACCGTACCTCATAAACCCCCAAACCCCTATACAAGAGCAAAACCAATCAAGTGAGGAATGAGACACACCTCTGACCTGCAAGCCAGCCTCCAGGCAGGCCAGGCCAGGGTCAACCAACAGTGCCACCAGACACAGCTCCAGAGGGGCTGAAGGTATCCCCGTGCTGCCCCCACACAAGCCAGGCACTGAGACTGCAAAAAAGGCCGTGTTTATATGGCCACACACCCAGCACCACCTTCCAGGTCTTTGCTGGAGGGTGTGGCAGCAGCCCCATACCTTGTGGTGGGAAGGGGTGTTAGGCACAGAACGGGATGCTGTTGAAAGGCTGAGACTTAGGGACTGCAGAGAGTCAGGGGGAGATACTCCACATCATTCTCCCAGCTGCCAGAGGCATTGTGCAGCACCTGCCAGCCCAAACCAGGCTGCTTGCACCTGAACAGCAATGGTGGGAAGAGACAAGCCCAGCCCAGGTGTAACACTCAGGCCACACTCAAGCTGTCACTGCCCTTCTCCAGGATGGACACCACAGTTCTTCCTTCCTTACCGCCTTTGAGGTGAAGATCCTGACACCAACACCTCCCAGGAGCCCCTTTCCCAGTCCCTCCCAGCAACACTGAGCCTGGCAAGTAATTTTACGTTATTCTGCATTTACACAAAAATAGAGCAATTCTATATTTATAGAGATTTATAGCCGGTTCCGTGCTGGAGGAGTTATTGAGCAAGGCCGGGGAGCTGAGGGTGGTCCGGGCTCCCGAGCAACCGGCTGCTTCTCATTCGGCAATTCGAACATACAAAATTAAAGGCATTCGTCTCCGTCTGGTTTCTTAAATAGATAAGGGGGGGAACGAGTGGACAGTATGTACAGAGGGGCCGTGGTGGCCGTGGCCTCTGCCCGGGTCAGTGGGGCCGGCTGCTGGACTCTGAGGGCTGCCGCTGGCGCGGGGGAGTGTAGCCATTCAGGTACCCGTTGCTCTGGCGTTTGCTGAGTCCTCCGTTCAGAATGTCCTGGATGTGCTGCACTATCAGGTTTATGGCCACTGCGAGCAAAAGGGGAGAGGTGGTGTTAGGATGGCTGCAAATCCACCGGAGCCAAGGCAGAGCTGTGCTCCTGCTGTCCCTCCCACTGCTACTGATGCCTTGGGTTTTAGCTTTTATATTTTTCACAATCTCTGCTTTTTAGTGTGTAACTAGGAAACTTCACGTTAGATGGCAGTAAGTTCTCTTCACTGGGTAGTTGGACAAAACAGTTCCTTTCTGGCTAGAGAATCAAGGACACCTGGTACCCAAAAAGCAGAAACAACAGAGAAGGAAAGGAGGAAAGCCAGGGGGCTGAGATTTCATAGCCTGGGGCCCTGCTTGGATAATTGACCCCAGTATGTAGATGAACCAAAACTTATAAAAGTGTAAAAACCCGTGATCAGGATCCATCTTGGGTTTGATTTGGGTGTAGCCCCAGCCAGGCTCTTGCATTGCCCAAAGTGTATCCTTCCAATAAATACCCATTTTCTTCCTTTTGTTCTGTCTACTCTCTGTTCCAGGTCAGCCTTTCCAGGAAACACTATCCCCTCCTATCCCCCTGGGACCTGATCCCTCTGCCCCTCAAGCCAGCATGGTCAGGCTGATGGTGTCCACCTGGCTGACCCCCTTGCACATTGCCTTTTGTGTGGGATGAACCAAGAGTTCATCCAGGAGCAAAGGAACAGACTCATCTTGCCACACCTGTGGTACAGCACTCTCTCGGGTGGCAGTGGCCCGAGTCCCCTTTGTGGCAGGTCCTGCTACCTCCAACCTAACTCCACTGCAGCAGCAGTAGCTCAAAGCTGGCTGCCAGGGCAAAACAGCAGGGTCTGGGTGCTTACCTTCATTATCTGCTCCTCTGGGAATGATCACATCAGCGTATTTCTTGGTCTGGGAGGAGAGAAAGCACTGTGTTACAGGGAAAGTGGAGAGACACTGGGCTGGGGCATTGTCCCTGCTCCCTGGGGCAGCTCCTTGCCCAACCCAGACCCACTGGGAGGTATGTCATTGCTTATAGTACATTTGGGATGCTCTTATTTGTGTTCTGCTGTGTTTCAAGGGCTATGCCTTGTGCCCTGACTCCATTTTCATGAGCTCATACAGAAGCCAGTAAGAGGCACCCTAAACAAAACCTGCAATTAAGAAGCCTCATAATCACACAACTCCAGGAGCTGATGCTCTTGGGAACATCACTCCCACTGAATCCAATCCAGATTTGCTCCAAGAGCTCGAGCTGGCATGCCTGGGCACAGCCACTAAATCTGCCTGGGAAGGAGGGGGAATTCTCTACCACATCACTTGCAAAGGTGGTGTGATTCAGGACAGCAGTCCTGACCTAGTTTCACCTGCAGGTGCCAGTCTCACTTTCCTCCCTGTCTGTGTCAGTTTTACAGCTGACAGGCAAGCCCCACCAAGCCAGCTGGGGTGATGGGTGTCACCTCACACCTCCAAGTGCTTCCAGACATATCAAAAATCACCAGGATATGCTGGACTGTCTCAGTACTGGACCACTTGGCCCAGAGCTGCTTTAGGAGTCAAATAACAGCAACAGTGGGTGCTGAGCCTGCAGTTGCTCTGCATTTGAGCCAACACCAGGTTGCAAGTGGGAGCAGACCATTGCAAAGCTGTGGGCAGAAACAAGGCAGTTTTGTGCCCTCCTTGTTTCACGCTTCATTTTCCTACAGACTCTTCATCAGAAGAGCCTGATGCAGCATCTGCTGCTTTGAAAAGCTGTGAATTTATCTTGCTGGGGTGGGGACTTGCAAGAAGAGGAGCCTCACAAGCTGGACCTGCCTCTCAGGAAAAGCCTTTCTGGCCTCTTGAATTGGTCCCTAGAGCTACAGTGGAGTGAGAGTGAAAAAAGGGAGCCAGGAAAAGATATTGTAGCACAGAATCAGTCCTTCTTAAGGTAGAGGGAAGAGCTGACCAGATAGACAGGCATAGGGATGCTCCTAAAGTGGGGGGCACAGTTTAACTCCTGCCTGTGGTGCAGTTCCCAGGTTTCAGGACTCTGCTGGCTCACTTCCTCCAGAATAAAAAAAACATCCTCATATAACTACTATAACTACCACATCTGCTTGAGAAGCCTTGAAAACCAAGGCACAGGCTCCTCTCCATGAGAGCCAGGAAAGGTGTACAATGGCTGATCCTTCAAACATGCTATTTCCATGCAAGTCTGCAGGACTGCAGCAAATTCCCCCACACAGTCCCTCTCTGCCAGAGAGCCTTGCCTCTGTTATCAGCTCCCAAAGGAGCTTCCTTTCTCCAAGCAGGTCTTGTCACCCTGGCCACTCACCAGCCAGGAAATGCAACCTGCAAGGCCACATCCCACTGCACAGAGAGAAGGAAGAAGCTTCCCTGCTCTCCCAAGCATGAAGCCAGCAGCACTGCAAGGTGAAAAGGGCAGGCAGGACAGCCCAAAAGAGGAGGAGAACACAGCAAACGCTGCCTGGGGGCAGCGACCTCCCATTCCCCAGCTAAATACAGCCCAGGATCCTCCCCCCAGGCTGAGCTGCCCAGCGGTTTGTCAGCCCTTCACAGGGAGGGATTCCTCTGGCCATGCTGCCTTCCCGAAGGGAAGGGTGATCTCACCAGGAAGGCAGTGGCTGTATAAACAGTCCCCATCACACCCTGCCCTGGCCAGAGCCTGCAGAGAGGCAGCAAGGCCCAGAAGGCTGATGTGAGCTCTGGGCACAGAGTGCTCCTGTTTCAGCACTCACGTGGGTGTCACTCCCCTGACTCACCGGCAAGCAGAACTCCTCAAAGGCAGGCTTGACGAAGGTGATGTACTGAGATAGGATCTGCTCCAGGTCCCTGCCTCGCTCGCTGATGTCTCGTAGCACTGAGGGCAAGGTGTAAGGCACAGTCAGGAGCTGAGGCACAATTCTCTCCACCCCCTTTCCCTTCAGTAAGTACAGTCTTTGGCCAGTGACCCAGATATTTTGTATTTGTACCTGAGATCACCGTTCCTAGAAGCTGCTCTCCGTGTGTCTGAGCACATCCCAGCCCAGCTCCATGCTTTTAACCTGCTAACAAGCTTTCCTGGGAGCCAAGGGCTGGCTGACCTGACCAAGGGCTTTTCTTGGCCTCTCGCCCTTCTCAGCTCTGCATGCACATTCCAGCTCAAACCAGTGCCAGCCCAGTCCTGAGTGCTCCCAGCTCAAGCTTTGCCTCCCTCCTGTCACTTCGTCCTGCCTGACTGGGCATTGTCTCACTCATCCCAGGGCAGAGGTGCCCAAAGAATAGAGAAGCAGTGGGGTTCAGACACATGCACACACTAAGGCACAGTTTAACTCAGATCTGTAGAGGTGAGGAAAATAAAACTCCCCCGCCCACACAGCTCTGCCAGGCTCCTTGTGCTGTCCCCAGCTAAGCAGGAGAACCAGAGGTCGAGGAAGTGCTTGGGCAGGTCAGCTCAGGAGGAAGCCTGAAGGCAGGAGAGCAAACTGGCCTCCTGCTTGTTCTGCCACTCAGGCCTTTCACCCTGTTTGCATGAGCTGTTTGGGCCAGTGCCATCTCCAGTCTGAAGCCACTTCAGCGTGGACAAGTGCCCCAGTTCAGCAGGAATTCAATCCACAAGGAAGAGCAGACGGCTCTTGGCTGTCCCCGGGGGGCTGCTGGCTTTTCCCCAGCATGAGAATGCCTGGCACTGGGTTTGGAATGAGCCTTTCCTCGTGTCCCAGGCAGAGCCAAGGCACAGCACTGCCCTGCCAGCCTGTGTGACCTGCTCGGCAGCCAGTGCCTGTGTGCTCTCAGGGCCAGCACACTGCTGCTCTGGCACTGTCCCCATGGCTTTGTTTGCCCTCGGCCAGCAGCTTCACAGTGTGGCCTTTCACAGCCCTGCATGGGGGAAGTAATGGGAGGAAAGGGCTGGAAACAGGATGGGTGCCAGCTCTCTGCCTGCTCCAGGAACCAGGCTGCTCCAGCCAGCTTCTCCAGAGAGCAGGAGTGAGCCCTGGCTTGAACAAGACAGAAAAAGAGGCAGGGAAAAGATAATACTTCTGTTTCCTAGGTCCCACACCTTATGTGTTGGGGTGCAGGAGGCCTGTGAGCTGTGCAGGGGCTGGTCCTGACAGCACAAAGCTCTCCTGTCTCTTCCCAGGGCACACCACAGCAGGACAATCACCCCACACACACAAACACAACTCAAGCACCTGCTGTCTTGTACCTGGCCCCAAAGCAGCAGGTCCCAACAGCCCAGGCTAAGGCCACACACCCTGTCCGGAGGGATTGCTGGCAGGGCAGGCAAATATCCCAAGGACAGGTCAGCACTCCTTTGAAGTTAGCAGGTCCAATCTCAAATTGGACCCAAAACATGCATGTGACACTGGACCTGGTTTATTTTTTAGGAAAACTGGCCAAGGACAGGGCAGTGAGGGAGCTTAGCCAGAATTAGGTCCTTGATCCCCACAGATCCCTGTTTGAGGTACCTGGCAGACCTTGCCCCTTGCACTCTGCCAGCAGAATTTCTGGGGAGAGGTGCCGAGATGGGGACAATGTGAGTTGCACATACTGAACCCCAGCACTACTGATTAACTGAGCTGCACTGCCAGGAACCTCATCTCCTGATGCTGCCCAGCTGAAAACCCAATTGCTGCAACCCTTCAGGACTTGTGGGACAGAAAGATGACTCAGGGCCACATCACAACACAAGATCCCAACTTTGCTATGAGTTGCCTGCAGCTACGTTCCAGGGACATGATTATACCTTTGGCACCTCTCACACAGATTCTCCTTTCCCAGAAATGACAGGCAGACATACAGTAAACAGATTTGATGCTGCAGTGGTCCTACCAACTGCTGATGGCAGGGAAATGGCCAGATTCCCACCAGGAGAACAATGAGCTGCAGTAACTAGGAGACAGCAGCACCTCCATCAGCAAAGCTGCCCTTTTGCAAGTGATTGATGGTGGGTGGGAGAAGTAGGAGCCTTACAAGCAGCAGTGTGAGTACAGCAGTGACCCAATAGCTCCACACTACACATCACCTTCTCCTGTCCTGAATGATCACCGGGACAGATGGAGCCCAAAGTCAGGGACTAAATTAACTCCATGGACACTTAGGAGATCTACAGGGGTGATCCATAAAATAGGGGATTGATATATGTGTGTTACACCGAAGGTGGGGAATGAGAATGGACTGGATCGTGTGGGACCTGAGCATGATTTAAGTGGTTTGGAATAAGGGGTGGAGAATGTGCTGGTTTTGGGTGGGATAGAGTTAATTTTCTTCACAGTGGCCGGTGTGGGGCTGTGTTTTGGATGTGTGCTGAAAACAGCGTAGATAACCCAGGGATGTTTTTGTTATTGCTGAGCAGTGCTTACACAGATCCAAGGTCTCTGCTGCTCCTCACCCCACCCCACCAGTGGGGGGGAGGGGACACAGCTGGGACAGCTGACCCCAACTGACCTAAAGGACGCTCCACACCACATACATGATGATATAAAGCTGGGGGAAGAAGGAGGAAGGTGAGATATTCAGTGATGGCGTTTGTCTTCCCACATAACTGTTACACACGATGGAGCCCTGCTTTCCTGGGGATGGCTGAACACCTGCCTGCCCACAGGAAGTGGTGACAAATTCCTCATTTTGCTTGCCCTGTGGCTTTTGCTTTGCTTATTAAACTGTCTTGGTCTCAACCCAGAAGTTTTCTCACTCTTACCCTTCTGAACCTCTCCTACCAGGAGAGATTGAGCAGGGAGCTAGTAGGGCTGAGTTGCTGGCTGGGGTCACACCACAACAGAGTCCTACCCTGTGGCTGGGTATGGCCCTGAGCTCCTGCACAGCAGAGTTTAAGGGATAAGGGCTCACATTTTAGGATCCTGCAAGTGCATATCTGTGACCTGCTACTACATCTCCCTGCAAGGACTGTGCTGTCACCTCCCTGGATGAGTCATGCAAGAACAGTGGGCAGGGTCAAGAGGGATTCTAAAAAGGAGATGTTAATCACTGCTGATGACATCCCAGCAGCTGAGGAGGCTCTGCATGTGTCTGACAGTAGGAGGGCAGGCAAGACCAGCTCCACTGCAGAGTGGAACAGTCCCATCCATGTACACAATAGTCCCAGAATGACGCACTGAGAACGTGCTCCCCTCGTCACAGCACAGAGCTCTTGGACGGGACTGCTCCTTTAAGTCATCTTCTGCATCCCCAGGCACCCTGTGCAGCCTGTCAGAACCAGGCAGGGGTAGCACAGAAGGGAATTCTGCCCCAAGAGTTGCCAAATGGTTTTTTAGTCACCCAAGAGGTGCTGCATCAGTGACCCCACCCCTCAAGGCTGCTTAGAAATGAAGGGCATCTCGAGTCATGCAGGCCCTGCAGCGTGGGTGTCCCTCCCACAGCCAAGCCAGCAGGACAAGTCCCCAGCCAGGGGACTCCTGGAGAGGGACACTCTAGTTTCTAGGGCTCCTTGCCCCCAAACCATCACCCCAATGCCAGGTACCATATAAAGGCTCCACACTGGGTGGCCAAAACGTACAACCAGACTCCCTCTCTGACACCACCCACCCTCGGAGCACACCCACAGCCCAGGTCCTGAGTGGATCTATCAGGCACTGCCTTCTGACTGAACTGCCCAGATGCTCTGCCTTGCCCACTGCACCCTTCCCTGCTGGCATCTGCTGACTGGCAGCAGCTGCTGCTCAGCTGCTGGCACTGGGCTGGTGCCACGGGGCCATGCGAGGACACAGCACGTTCAGCAGTCAAAGGAGAAATCCCAGCCAAGGCAGCAAAAATCTCACTGGATCCCAAGAGACACAGAGCAAGGCGCTCTCCCGCTGCCCTAGTGACACTCTGCACTGCAGAGGAGGAGCTCCCCAGCTCTTGGCAGCTTTGTGCCAGCTCTGGTCACTGTCACCTGCCTGTGTGATGAGTTAGGGGGGATTTCTGTGCCTGCCTCACCTCTGCGGGACAGCCGGGTGTCCGCGTCCGTGTCCACGAAGAGCTTCATGCGGAACAGGTCCCGCACCTCCTGGCTGTAGAAGGCCAGGATGCCTTCGAAGAGCACCACATCAGCAGGGTACACGGTCACCGTCTCCTCTTTCCTGCCGGGGGCAAGCACAGTCAGAACCTGCTGTTTGGGGGAGGCCGGCGAACAAAAAGAGAGGTGAGGGGGGGGAAACAGCGGTGCTCCTAAGCACTGCTCCAACCCTGGGACACCACTGCTGCACCAGGGGGGCGACCGGGGAGAGGGCAGACCTACCCCACCGCCGTGGAGGGAATCCAAGGCATACGTACGCTTCCTGCAAGGACAAACAGCAAAGCAGGAAGCACGCTAGCCCTTCTCCCCCCTACCTCGGCCAGCTGCTGCTCACAAGGGTTATGTGCCAAGCCAGAAAGCCCAGGAAAGCCTTATGGATAGGAACCTGCATGGCCAGCTCTGCTTCCCTGGGATGCAGGCAGCACTTCCCTGTGCTTTTGTGGGAAACGGAGCAGAGCCACGCCATCCACAACCAACACGGGCATGCCAAAACAAGCTGAACACATGCAAGGGGAATGTTACAAGAGCAAGAACTGCTGTCTTCCTCCTTTCCTGGCACTGCCAGGGTGTTTGAGGCTGGAGTACTTGTTAAAGCTACTAACACCAAGTTTCTGGGGAGAGGAGGTATGGATGGGGGAAGAGAAGGGAGGTCATAACCCCTCGGCACTGATGCCTGGATGTTGCTGGGTGGCTACACAGCTTTCCACACCCTCAGCCTGTGCCTGTATCTGCCTGGGATGCTCTAACCCGGGGCTGGAGGAGTTAGGATGGAAACCCTGTGCTGGCAGGTTAGGCACCCAAGCAGAGGGCAGGAGTTTGGGGAGGGCAGGGCAGCACCACAGGACGTTAGCAGAGGCACGGCAAGGCAGGAGCAGCTGTTAGACCTGGAGTGGGAGACAAAGTCATAGACAGGAATCTGGACCGTCTTCCCTTCTGTGATCTCTTTGAGTGTTTTCACGATCAGCTCGTTGTCAAAGGCATCTGAGGAGAGAGGAAACGTTACCCGAGGCAGCTTTGCAACCTCTCCCACCCACCAGATGCTGAGCTTCGCCCAAGCCAGAGTCCTTGGCACCACACACTGAGGACAGACAGACACATAGACTTGGGAGGAAAGCCCTGCAACTCCCCAGGGACGAGGCAGGGCCCAGCTCTGCCAGAACCACGGGGCTCTGTGGCTCTGCACCAGCCTGGGATTTGTCCTGCAGAGATCAATACCGTCCTTGTACAGCAGTGCTGACAGCCCAGGCGCAGGAAGGCATCTCCTCCAGGGCTCCAGCCCTTGGAGAAAGACCGGAGCAGTGTTCCAGCACTGAGCTGCCAGACAGACAGGGCTCTGTTTGCTCAGTGCTCGCTGCCTCTGGCCATTGTCCTCGTGGGGACGAAGGGACAGCAGCTCTGGAATTTCCCCAGCGAGGAGATGGTTCACAGAGCCCCTGTTGTAGTTACAGGGCCGGGCCTCTCGGTGGAAGGGTTGGCAGAGCAGCTGCACAGCTGCTTCCCTCCTTGAAGGAGGGACATGGAGCTGCTGCCTTCAGGGACTCTGCCAGACCAGATATCTCTGGGCCTGACTCAGCTTCACTGAAAACCAATCTGCTCTTCTGAAGCCTGCTCTAGATGAAGGGTATTTGAACTAGATGACCATTAAGGTTCCTTCTAAACCAAGCTATTCAATGATTCTGTGAAAACCTTGTTCAAAACTGGGGGATGTTTTTGCAGGAAGAGGAGGGTCTTAAGGAGTTTGAGGGTTTATAACCTGCTCTTTCTCATCCCAAACACCCCACCCCATTTCTTTCCCATGAGAGATGGGGGGATGACACACAGGTGATATCCCAGCCACCCTGCCAGCGATGCAATCAGCTCCACAAGAGCTTAATTAAGCCACCCACTCCTGTCCCAGGAGGATTCAGAGCCTCAGTGTCCATGCAAGCTCTTTGCTACTGCAGCTGGGGATCCCACTCCAGCCCATTCACCATCCTGCATTCACCTGGGTGGTCAAAATTGAACTGGCCTTTGAGTGCCTTGGATTTCTGCTCCGAGGTGAGGACCCGGTAGAAGCTGTCTTGGCTCACGATCACCACCTGCTTCTGGCGATAGTCCACCTCGTTCTGGCCCAGCAGCTGGACAATCTTAGAGCACACTGACGACTGGGAAAGGAATAGCAAAGGAAGCACATCAGCAGCAAGTTACACCTAAGTGGCACAGGGAGGATGTGTCCAGGTAGCATCCCTGTCTGCTTGCTGCATCTCCAGCCAAGAGACTGTGGTTTTCCCAAAGCCACTGGGGGAAAAGTGCTCCAGAGGCATCACCATGGTACTCTTCAGTGTGACAGCAGCACCAAGTTTGCTGCCTGCCACCCTCTCCTCCGCCCCTATAGCCTGCCCACAGTTCCTATTCTGAGCACAAGTGGCAGCAGAAAAACAGTTGGCTCCGGCCTGGGTTCAGCCACATGCCCAGGGGCCCCAGGCACTCCAGCCTGCCAGGCAGCTCCCCGTGGGCACTAGGGCTGAGTCTCCTCCCTGAGAAAGCAGTCTTGGCTCCCCCAGCTCTGCTCCAGTGCAGAAACCCCACCACAGCATGAGACAGTCCTCAGAGGGAGAGCAGACAAAGCCCACGATGGGAAGACACGAGGAAGAGAGCCATGGGAGTTTATCAGGGATCTCTGCCACAGCTGCCAGGGCTGGGAGGAGCCAGCATATCCCGGTGCCTGTTGGCACAGCAAAGCTCAGGGCACTGCGGAGTCAGCAGCTCAGGAGCCACGTGGCCCTGAGTGCCGAGTGCTGCTGGCACAGGGAGAGGGCACCTCACACTGCACACGGAGCAGGATGGGAGAGGGCACCTCACACTCCACACGGAGCAGGATGGGAGAGGGCACCTCACACTGCACACGGAGCAGGATGGGAGAGGGTGGCTGGCACAGGGAGAGGGCACCTCACACTGCACACGGAGCAGGATGGGAGAGGGTGGCTGGCACTGGCTCTGCTGGCACCAGGGCAGGCCCTGGCTGTGTGGCCACCACTGCGACACAACCCGGAGCACAGCTTGGGGGACAAATCCCAAAACCTGCTGCAGTCCCTTCTCCTGAGTCATGGGAGTGCTTGGCCGCCGTGCAATGCACTGGTGGTGACTGCATCACTGCCTGGCAGCCAGCACTGCCCCAGCCAGGAGAGCCAAGGCCAGGCTGGCTGGGGAGCACTCGGCTCCTGCCCCATGGCATCCACTGCCTGGGGCAAAGCAGCTGCTCCTGCTGCCAAAGGGAGCTGCTCCAACTCCGGGAATCACACAGGCTGCAGAAGCCCAGCCGAGCTGCTCCTGCTGAGCCCTGTGCCTTGCAAAGAGCAGCATGCTTGCCCCATCCTGCCGGTGGCTCTTTCCATGCTCCCACCTCCCGGATGGCTCAGCCATCTGGCTCCATACCTGGCTGGCAACCTTCAGCTGCAGAGCTAAAGACAGCAGTGCTGAGAGGGAACAGGGAGGGGAACGCATGCCTGCCAGAAGAGGTCACCCCGACAGGCAGAGGGCAAGGCTGTTTGCTTGAGAAGCTGGAAGATTTGACAGCATTCTCCTCTCCAGAGACCGTCTCTTCCCTCCAGGCCAGGCTGACCTGACTTGGCTGTGACCACTGGGCTGTGAGTCATCCCCAGCCGGGCTGGAGAGGCTCACACAGCTCTGCTGTGGAGAGAACTGGCTCCAGCTGACCCACAGCAGTCCGGGCTGCCCTGGGCACCAGTTCAGGTTTTAGGTCAGGGATGGGGTCTCCTGAGCATCCCACCTTCTTCTCCTGCCTCTCCCAGCAGGCAGGACATGCTTCCCAAGCCACGCTGGCAGCCCTGCCCTGCAGCAAGCTGCTCCCACCCAGAACAAAACCCTGCAACTCCATGCCAGTCACTTGCCCTTCTGCAAGTGCAAGCCAGAGCCTGCTCTCCCTTTCCTCTGTTTTCCCACCCCCCAAATCCTTATCTGGCCTGCCTCAGCCCTACTGCTTATCCAGCTGTATCCCAGAGGTTTGCAAAACCCGTGCTCAGTGCCTCTCTTCCACTTTTTCTGCCCAGACACCACTGCTTGCCCGTGCAGGACACGGCACAGCCTTGGCTACAGCTGCCGAGGGCAACAAACTTCCCAGGCCCTTTGCCATTAGGAATAAACCACCTTTCAGCACAGCCACCCAGACAGATCCTCAGGCTCCACGTGGATCTACACCAGAAACTGCTTTTGCCAGCCCAGGGGAGGGAGGAGGACTTCTTTCCTTTCAATCAATCATGAAAGCAACACATAGATTTGCATTCACTCTCTTCCCTTGGACCTCAGCATGTGTATTGCCTATAAAATCATTTGAGAGCATCAGACAAATGGTGCCAGTCTTCCTTCGGTCTTATGCACACTAATCTCTGGTCTGTGGCTTCTGGAAGGTGGAGAAGAGCTTCCACCAGCTCTGAAAATCACCCTCCAGCTCATACCCCACAATTTGAGACACCTGATGGTGAGAAAAGCCCAAGGAGAAAGTACCCCAAAGCAGCTGGAGACAGGAACATGTCCTCCCACCAGGTTTCCAGATGAGGGGCAGATTGTATCCCAGCTGCATTTGCCATCCAGGGCACCGGGACAGATGGTGCCTCTTGGAAAAAGCAACCTGGCAGACACAGTGGACCCTCCCCTTTTCCCTGGTGGGCTCTGAAGAGCTGGCAGAAGCAGTGGAGAAAGACAACCACAAGGACATGCTGCTCTCAGGACTGAGAGATGCTCAGTTTCAGCACCCCACACTGCCTGGGTGAGCAGGGATGTCACCTCCTGGCTCTGGGAAGAGGCACACTTGTCACCTTGGTCCTGCAGATGTGGGCCAGGCACTCTCACATGACACCTGCATTAAGTGCAGCAGGACATAGGGGGACAGGGCATGTTCAGCTTGCCTTAGTCCATTCCAGGGCTGTGTTCAGCTTGCCTTAGTAGGGCAGTGAACTTCAGCAAGGTCCAAGAGAAGGTTTTTCCTCCTCTCACTATCATTTGAGATAGGAACAACAGTGTCCCATGAGGGGCAGTCACTGATGCCAACCTGAACAACTCCTACAGCTGGACATGTAGTTTTCCCCTTGGCTGATAAACACCCACTGCTAAGGAGGAAGAAAAACCAGAAACACACAGCTTGGAAACTCCCCTACACAACGGGAACAGAAACTCCCAGCCTCAGGAAGTGTCTCTCCAAATAAATGACATATTCCCTGCTCCCTTTTCTCTCAAAACAGCACAGCATACACTTGCGACTGTGAAAAGATCCATCAATAACTGGAAATTAGCACAGCCAGGTTTTGGGGAGACTCGCAAATGCCCAGTAAGAGCAAGAACAGAGCATGACTCCAAAGCACTGTGCCAGTGTGCACCAGTCTGGCTGCAGGGGACACACGCTGACAACATGCACTTAGCACCCACTTGAAGGGGCAGCCCGGGCTCAGATTCCTTCTTTTGCCAATTCCAAACTGCTTCTCCCAGGGAAGAAGACAATTACTTCTTCTCCAAGAAGCCCAGGAGTGCAGAGGATGACTTGAGAAAGGTGAGGTGATCCCAGTACACAAGCTGGAGGATTTGAAGCCCATCACTAGCTATGCCTTATGTGACACAACTCATCTGCAGGAATACAAGAGCTATGCCAGAGCTCCCTGTCTCTGCTCAGCCCTTTCTCCATATCCACCTCATCCTGGCACACCTTGCACAAGCCAAAGCCAAGCCAACACTGCCACTGATTCAGCTGCAGCAAACTCCCAGCAACAGGATGCTTTCTCAAGCAAAAGCCTTCCCCTCCTCCAGAACTTGGTTAAAACTAAATATAGCCAGGACTCAGCAGCCTCTGAGCCTCCGTGGTTGCCAAGCAGACCTTTCCCATGGTAGCCACACAAAACTGAAGCAGGACTTTCCAAGCATGCAAGCAGGGAGGGACCCCAGCTCCTGCCATGAGTTATGGACTTCCCACACACTGCAGAGAGGGGAACTCGGCTCCAGGTTGGAGAAAACCCCTAGAGCTGCACTCCTCCAGGCTTTGTGCTCGAGCTGCTCCCTGGGAAAGCTGTGCAAAGCAACCCACACCTCACAGCTCGTGGAAAGGAAGGTAGCAGCACAGCACCGCCCAAGTGAGAGCTCCAAGAGGCTATTCCTGAGCAGAAGCAGCTGCAGCTCCCCTTGCAGGACTCCTCCCCTGAACCAAGCACACAAACAGCCAGTGTTCAAGGAAGAAGCACAGCTTTATTCTGCTGGGAAGGGAAGATGGAGAGGGCACCTGGGGAAGAAATCCAACTTATTTTCCCCAAAGGAGAGAGGTGGTACACAGGGGAAGAAACTCAACAGATGGGTATTTGGAAGCCTACCCCCGACATTTATTTGGAATATATTAATTATGTATTTAATTCACATTCACTCGTGGCCTATAGCCAGCTGCTCAGATATTCTTCAGGAGTTGACTAATTCCCTGACATTATTATGCAGATTATCCCACAATCCCTCTTGGGTAGCTCTGATCAGTGAATTATGACTTACAATTCAGACAGTGAATTATGACTTCTGATAGGTATTAAGGAGAAAACTGATGGGCAGTGCCACAGTCATCCAGCAGGAACTACCACGACAAGGGACCAGGACACAGCTGATGCCTCCAGCCCCAGGAGGGCAAGGCCTGTCCTGAGCTAGCAGGAACTCCTAAGCCCTGTGCAGGTGGATATGCTAAAACCCATGTGCTAAAAGCAGTCTGTCCATCCCTAAGGAACCTGACACTGCAGAGAGATGTTAAGCTCCCATTTTCCCAGGGACTCTCGATGAGACACTCAGCAAAAGTGACTTAGCCAGATCAAGTGATTCCAGCCCTAAAGTAACACTGAAGCTGCCAGATCCCTTGGGAGTAGGAAAAAGGTTGTGCCAAAAGCGTGGAAAGAGAGGCACAGCCTCCTGCCACCACTGCAGGCTGCTCACCCTGAGCCCAGCTGATGCTCATGAGGACAGTCCTCCCCAAGAGAGCAATGCCCTTGGCCCAAAGCACAACCAGGAGCAAGGACAGACTGCAGCAGTCACATCCCACCAGGGAGAGGAGGTTATCTCCAGGGACAGCAGTGCCATAATGCCCTTCCTGTAGGATCTGACTGTGAGCTGGCTTGGCAGGAGCTGGTGATGGCTCTGCATCTGCAGCAGCCTGGTTGGGGTGTCCTCATCACACCTTTGTGGATAAATCAGTCTCCAGCTTTGTGCTCTGACAGGATTTTCCCTCAGACCAAACATAAGGAACGACTGTAATTATTTGTTTAATTTCTCTGCTGTCCTCCATAGCATGCTGCCCTTATCTCCAGCAGCACGCAAGTTACAGATGATGGTCTCTTCCTGAAAGTTATGGCAATTATAAAGTACCAGGAAGTGCTTGGACTGGGATGACACACAGAACAGACAGCAAACTGGGAAGGGTCCCAGAGCATCTATCAAATACCCGTGGCTGCAGACAGCCAGTTCATGACCCACACCATCCTCTCCAGCCCTAATGGGAGCACATACATGTGACAACACTAGCACTGGAAACTTACTATTCTTGAACCAAAAGCCTGGGCCTCCACCCAGAGCATTCCCAGGCAGGTTCACCACCCTGCCTTTCCCTTTTGTGAGCCACAGGCCAGCCAGAGGCAGGAATGGGATAGCCAGGTTTCTATTCACTCACCCTGGGACACTGTGCATGTGATCAGCAATCCCAAGCTGGAGCATAAACAGGCACACGCAGAGGCTCTAAACACAGATTACATGCAGGGAGGAAAACAAGCCCTCTAACACAATCCCTCCCAATCCTCTGGTTTTAGGCACAGGATATTTTTCTCGAGCCCCTGCTGCAAACTCCATAGCCCAGAGCTGGCTGAGCCCACGGGACTATGGTAAGCAGACTCCATAATGAGCACATATTCCATCAGTAACAGGAAAGGGCTGACCCATCAAAATGTCCTGTGGATCAGAGCTGGCACAGAACAACGTTCTACTAGAAAGTTTGATGAGTCTCTAGCACACGTTGACACCAGTGTTTAACTAGTCAGACCTTGTGATGCAGGGCTCCTGCCAGCCACAAACCAACGTCACCAGGAAATGGTGCTGAACCGGCACAGGGCTGCTGCAATTCCTGTTAGTCCCCCTCCCATGGGGGAGTCATTCCCGGATCTCCCCTGGGCTTCTCTGCCAGCCATCCGGGTGGTGGCATTGTGGCAGTGACCCCCGGGCCGCTGTGGGGTACCTCAGCCCTTGCTGTGGTAGAGGACTGAGCTGTGTCACAAAAGAAGTTCCATGCAGAAATGGAGCTGCCCCATGCAGCTCAGACCATTCCTTCCCTGGGGGCCAACACTGGCTCTCCCACCCTGGCAGGGCAATTCCAGCCTTCTGGCTGGCTCACTCTTCCAGCCTCAGCCAGCTTTTCCAGTGTTTAAAGAGCCTAGTGAAGTAAATGAAGAGCACACCTGGCGAACACAGGCTGCAATCTCGGTGCTCTGCAGGCTGGAAACTCTGAGGCTGCATGTCCAAACAGACATTGGGAACTTGATGTGCTAACTCAAGACCCAAATGATGTAACTACAGGGCTGCAGTGGCACCTATACTCAGCCCTCACTGTAATTTGAGCGATGAGCAGCCAACCAAAGCAATCAGCCCTTTACAAATCTGTCTTTTCTTACAAGCTCCTGTTGGAAGGCAGCAATCAGCATCTCATTCCGCGTGGGGACAACAATTAACGCTTCAGCCCGAGCTCAAAGAGCCTCCCCATCCCTGCAGCCACCCCAGCACCAGATGCCACCGCTGCTGCTGGGAGCAAGCTGCTCCAGGCACTGCTGGCAGGGCTGCAAGGGCCCAGCAGCTACGCTGAAGTGAGGACACACAAAGAGCTTAAGGAGATATCCCAAAAGTTCCCAGCTCATCTCAGCAGCCAGTTTGCTCAACTTTCCTCCAGCCCGCAGCCTGGCTGCTTGCCTTGTACGCTGCAGAGTCCCTGGTAGTCAGGAATATCTTGCAGGAGCAAGGGAAGAAGCTGTTAGCACAAAGGCCATGGGTGCAAGAGGGAAATGAGGACTCCAGCAGAACACTTGAGGACAGGGTGAAAGAAAATGCGACAACCAGCCTTGGGGATGGCTTTGAGGGAATGAGGCAGTTGCAGCCCTCTTCATGGATGAGGGGGGTCTTAATGCCAAGTCATCTCCACGCCAGGAAACCACAGCCTGCTTTGTCCAGACTGCACAGTGCTTGGATTTCAGGGGACAGCTCTTTTTTTTTTTGTGCAGAGCCTGTCCCAGCTGAGCCGACTGAAAACAGCCACTGTGCAGCCTGCACTGCCCTCACAGAGGCTGTGGCATCCCAGACTACCCAGGACCTCTGCAGCTGCCCAGTTCTGCTCCCAACACAGTCCAGCTTTCTTTCCAGAGCCAAAAACCAGGAAAGCACTCAGGGTTCTACCCCTGCTGGAGTGGCCAAAGTTGCTCAAGCCTCTTTTGCTCACTAGGGAAGAGCACTCAGCCTTTGAACTTGAGTTCTCACAGACTGAAGGAACACCAGCCAAAAAAATCCCCAGCTCTTTGGGAAGGCCAGCCGCTTCCAACACCAGCTCCCCCAAGGCACCACACCACACAAGTCACGGCAAGCTACAAAACACAACCCCATCCTTCCACAGCCTGACCGTGCTGGTATGCCAAGGGGGATGGAGGGGACTGTGGAGCCTCTTATCCCCATGTCAGACCCAAAAGCAGCAGTGGGAGGAGCTGTGGGGGGCCTTGGAAGGCAAATTCCCTCTGTTATCTTTGGGCTGGTGTGCTGCCAAAGGGGCGTGTTGAGACAACAACCCACAATTGGTGTCAAGGCGAGTTGGACGGATTTGTCGCTTTCCCAGTGGGAAAGGTGCCTGCTTCACCTTCCTGCTGGCACTCACTTTTCACCCAGAGCCAGCACATCTGCACGGTAGCCCCTGGTAGAGCTGGATTTTGGCTGGAGGCAAGCCCTTAGCTAAGCATACCACATCAGCCCCACTGCAGCACTGCCAGGGCACAGGGCACTGTCACCAGCTCAGGTAGGGGACACAGGTGAGGGACAGCCCTCCACATCCCTGCCTTGCAGCTGCACCAAATGTGAATCTGAGGGGCTTGGGCAGAAGCCCCAAGTCCTTTTTGCCTGTTGCTTGGGGTTTTTTGCCGGCATATTTCTCACAGCCTTTTCCCACCAACTTTGTAGTGATCTGCTGGATTCCCTTCAACGGGCAACACTGCACAGAGGTTTTCAGCAGTCACTGGACAGGGGGAAATCAAAGCTGAGAGACAGGAAAAGCCAGTTAGTACATCTCCTTGCTAGAAAGGACCATTTCCCTATTTTTTTCCTAAGGCAGCCTGCTGCTCTTGAGCATTTTCACTTTGAAGTTGAGCACCACTGTGGTGTATTGTACTGTAATCACTGCTTTTACCTTATAGGCCTGAGACACAATGTTCAGAGACATAACAGTTCAGCAGCGCCAGACACGATGTTATTGGGACAACTACAGAGAGGCAGACCCACGCATCAGAGAACAGACAAATCCAGCGTGTTTGAGTCACCAGGAGCTGTACTGCAAGAACAATCCAGCTTTGGTTCCCACCGGAGGAGATTGCATCCTCTCTCACCATCCCTTCCCTGTTACAGCTGGATTTTTCCCTCTTGCAGCAGCAACAGCAGTCCAAGAATCAATAGGGTACTCAGAGACACATGCTTAAAACACCAGGCTGAGGTACAGCAGTTGGGTTATGCCATCCTTCAAGAGAAGGAGGGATGGCCCTCCAAACACAGATCAACCCAGAGATCTAAGCCTAATCCTTCCCCCGTGCCAACCCACATTCAGTTTTCTCAGCAAGAAATATTTCACAGGTAGTGCTGCTTTCAAAAACACAGGCAGAATGTGCTGCCCTGCATACCAGCACTGGTAAGCTGTGGAGCTGCTTTTACTGCTCTTAAAGCTAGAGAAAAAAAGCAGCAATTTTTTTTTCCCATTAAGAAAAAAGTGACCTAGCGAGGTTAAACAAATTCAGACACGCTGTATGAAACAAGGAAAATAAAAGGCTGAGGAGCGGCAGGGCTGCCCTGCGCTGCAGTCTGGGTGTAGCAGCCTGCCGGGAACACCCGCATTGCCCCGCCGGGCGGCTGCCCCGTCCCCGCAGCCCTCGCCCCGCTCCGCTCCCACCTGCCGCTGCCAAGGGCCAGCCCCTCCCGGCACAGCAGCCAGGAGGTCGTTCTGCCGCTGTGAGTCAGCATTTGCTGCAGAATTCCCGCTCCTGCTACCCTAAAGTTGGGCAGAGAAGGGCACCCCCATGCACGATCGACACCATTGGGGGCGAGGGGCGGGGGTAGGAATTAAAAAACTGCATCGCGCCCGAGGTGCTCTGCAGGACGGGCAGCCCCGGGGGTCAGTGCAGGTGAAGGAGGACGGGGGAAGTGCTGACCACAGCCACAGGAGAGATTCTGGAGGGGAGATGCCGCCTCTACCCCAGCCGAGCTAGGGCCACCCTTGCTCCGCGCAGCCCCAGCTCTGCCCGCTGTGACACAGAGGGACACAAGGTCCCGGCCGAAGAGAAGGAGCAAGTAAATCCCACACCCACCCCGCACCCTCCCTCCACGTGTCCGAGGGGCTCCGTCCGCCGCCTGGACAAGAGGCCTCGGTGGCCGCGCTCCCTCCGCCGGATCATCCATCCCCGGGCACCCAGCGAGCCCGCGCGGCTTCATCGCCATCCTCGGCCCCGGCTCCATCTCCATCCCTGGCCCCAGCTCCATCTCCATCCCCGGCCCCGGCTCCATCCGCAGCCCCAGCGCTCGCCCCGAGCCCGCGGCCCGGCCGCGGAGCCGCGCACGTGGCGGGGCGGCCGCTCGGACCCGCCGCGCTGCCATGTGGCCGCCGCGCCCGGCCTGGGGGGCCGCCCCACGGAGCCCGCCCGGCCCCGGCCCCGCTGGGGCTCCCCGGCCCTCGGCGGGGCTCCCCCCGCACCTTGCCGCTGGCCGTGCCACCGCTGACCCCGATGAGGAAGGGCTCCCCGCCGCTGGGCTGCCCCTGCTCCTCCAGCCGCTGCTCGCTGTCCCCCGCCATCCTCCCCGGCTCGTCGCCGCGCCTCCTCCGCCTTCGCTCGCCGTGCGGGGCCGGATTTATCTGATGAGTCAAGGGCCTTCCTCCCCGCCTGGTTCACATCCCCGGCGCTGCGGCTCCTTGCCAGGTGCTGCCGCAGCTGCACATGCTCCGGCCCAGCCCGCCGGCGGGCGGCACTGCGGCCACATGGGCCCGCACCGCGCCGCCGCCCTCCCTCCCTCCTGCCCGCCCGCCCGCCCGCGGACAAAGGCGCTGCGGCCGCGCCGGGAGCCGGGCCCCGCACCCCGCACCGGCTCCCTTCGCCCCTCTTCCCCCTCCGCTCCATCACAGACAATGCTGGGACCACAGCATGGTGGCCCCCGGCAGAACCTCCATTGTTTGTCTCCCACGCTGGAGGCCAAGGGCATCCTGACTTGGATCAGCCACCAGGACCAGGGCAGTGATCGTCCCCGTGTGCTGGGTACTGGTGAGACCACACCACGAAAACTAGAGTCAGTTTTGGGCCCCTCACGACAAGGAAGACATTGAGGGGCTGGAGCGTGTTCAGAGAAAGGCAGCGAAGCTGGGAAAGAGCCTGGAGCACAAGGCTGGGGGGACTCAGCCCGGAGAAAAGGAGGCTCAGGGGGTGCTTTATTACTCTACACTTGAAAGGAGGTTGTGTGGCTCGGTGAAGGTTGGCCTTTTTCTCCCATGTAACAAGAGGAAATGCCCTGAACTTGTGCCAGGGTTTGGGTGGGTAGGTTGGATATTAGGAAAAATTTCTTCACCCAAAGGGTGCTTAGGCGTTGGAACAGACTACCCAGAGAAATGGTTGAATCGCCATTCCTGGAAATGTTCAAGAGCCATGCAAATGTGGCACTTGGGGACACTGTTTCATGGTGAACAGTGCTGGCTCAATGGTTGGTGATTTTGCACGTCTTTCCCCACCCTAATCACTCTGTGGTTTTCCCACCCCACTTAGGCCCTGGTCCTGCAAGCACTCAGAAATTATTATTAATGACCCAAATCCAGGAATAAAAATTATGCCTTTGGCAAATGGGATCTGTATGGGAAGAGCTGTGAGCACTCTGGAGGCCAGGATTCAAAGTCAAAATGACCTCAACAAAATGGAAAAAGGATTGTCAATATGTAGGGTGCAGGTCCATGCAGACAAATGTGATAACGATCTGTGGCAATGCGAGATAGGAACTTGCTGGCTAGCCAGGCCTTTTACAGATAAGGATCTGGTGTAGAGTGGATCAAAGAATCAATTGGTGATGCCGCTGTGAAAAAGGCAAACATCCCATTGGGGCATATAAACATGCACAGGTATCATGTTTTGAAAAAGGTGAGGTCTGGTGGATAGACTCCAGTGGGAACAGCCCAGGGTCTGGCTTTGTAGGACTGCAGGACCCATCTGTGTTTAGGCTGGGGAAAGTCTCTGCTGGGCTGCAAGGCTGTGGGGATACAATAACCATTTCCAAATACATAAAAGGCTGCCACGGAGAGAAAGGGAATAAGTTGTTTTTTTTTACCGGTAGGGATTAAAAAAAAATGTTGCCAGCTCAACACTGTAACGAGGACAATTCAGGGACCTTTGCTAGGGTTGAAAATGGTTAAGTCCTAGAAAAGGTTGTTTAAGGAGAGTAAGGACTCTCCACTTTTAAATCTGAGGATTTAAAAACAAAACAAAAAACAGTAGACACGCTCCTGAATGGAAAGTGTTTAGTAGTGCTGATGCTGTTTTGGGGCAGGAGCAAGCCCAAGCAATGCCCCAAGGCTCCTCCCAGCCCTATTCAGAGAGGATCAGAACTCTCCCTTAGGGTTTCTAACTTCCTACTTCAACACAGCAAACAGGTGTGGAAATGTTTGCCAGACAGGTCCCATGTCCCAGCCCTCATCACGCAGGATGTGAGAGAGGATCTCCTGGGAAGCCCTTACCCCTCTGCCCACTGCTCCCAATTCCTCTCCAGCAGTGCCATGGGAGAATGGCACTGCATGCAGCCGCTGCCAGGGAAGGAAGAGCTATATATGGATGAGAACTTCCTGCAGGGACGAATTTCTGTGGATTCCCATGGCCCCATGCCAGTTTCCAAGCACTGACCATGGGCACAGCTCCCGTATACCCTACTGGGACCCGGGAGCTATTCACAGCTCTCCTTCCTCACTCCAACGCTGACACAGCTGGATCTGGATGGCAAAACCCCCGCAGGACAGTGAGAACTCCAGGTTATTGGGTTCTCCCCCTCCTGCCCTCCCTGCTGCCCTGCTTGGGGACTGTCCAAATCCTCTGCTGTGCTGCACCTGTTTCAGGCTGTGCTAGCCGTGTTGAGCTTCTCTGTAGGATGCCCATCATGGCATTTCACCTTATAGCTGGACATGTGGCAGGAGCTGACACACCTGCAGGGGAAGTAAAGGAGAAGTAAATGCCTCGTGATGGGCCCTGGAGGGGTTTGAGCTGAGGGCATCCAAGGCTTATTTATACAGAACACAAGGAGAACTTGCAAAGGTCAGGTTAACGGCTCTTTCAAAACCAGGCCAGGGCTGTGAACTAGAAGTGAACCAAATCCAAGTCCCAGTTAGTTTTAGATGCCACCTTTCCTCAAAACTGAGAATTTTACACACCCTTTTACTGGCTGCTGGTCACTAACTGTGCAAAGCAACTGAACCTTTTGTTCAGTTTGTCTGGAGACTTCAGTATATGAAACGTACTGGGATTATGTGTTTCTCCAATTTGGTCTCCATAAATATTACCACTTCTATATCTAGAATGTTTGTAGACTACAGCAACCCCTGACTCATGTAACCAGAGCGATGTATTATGCAAATGCCTTCCTTTTTCTCATATCCCAGGCTGGTAGATCAAATCTGACTGCACTCAACCCTCATCTCTCCTTTACACATTGATCAAAGCACAGAATGCTGTTTTGAAAAGGAAATGCCATTGAGGGTAATATGCCGTGTGTTGTCTGAAAAAAGGATCTGCTGATAAGGATCCCCGTGTGATTCAAAGTGACAGGATGAAATTACAAAGAGCCTGTTGTCACCTCTACCTCCAGTTCAAACCATGGACACTGCAGAGGAAAGAGGTTCATGTCACTGACTATCTCCTCCTGGCCTGCATCTGCCAAAAAAAACCCCATTCAGAATCAATAAGTGATACCATGTGAATAATTTCCCTGAGCAGCATAAGGGAAACTAGTTCAAAATACTGCTTTGATAGATGCCGATACATCTCACAGCCAGGAAAGTCAGGGAGCTCTAAAGAGAGGGAGAGAGGGTGGAGGATGGGATACAGCACAGGGAATAGCATGAGGTGGCACAAAACAATAATCACAGAATGCACTGGGTTGGAAGAAGTCTTAAAGATCATCTTGTTCCAAGCGCCCTGCCATGACAGGGACACCTTCCACTATCCCAGGTTGCTCCAAGCCCTGTCCAATCTGGCATTGAACACTTCCAGGGATCCAGGGTCAGCCACAGCTTCTCTGGGCACCCTGTGCCAGGGCCTCACCACCTTCACAGGGAAGAATTTTTCTGTATATCACAAATCCTGCCACATCACCAGCTGTCAACATCTTTCTGCTGCTCACCCCGAACTGAAATATCCACCCTCAGTTTCATCCCTGTCTCCCTGAGTCCCCTTTTGCTGAGATCCAGTTCTCAGTTGTGCCCTGCTGTTGCAGACAGCTCCCTTTGCCTGGACACGGTGCTGGGACTTTTGCTGCGGTGTGTAGCTGCAGCTCTCAGTGACATCTGGCTCAGCCACCTGCACACCCGTGGCTCTCTGGTTTCCTCGTGTGCCTGTCCCCGGGCCCGGAGAGGTTGTTTGCTGTCTGACCCCACGCCCTCACTCGCTGCTTGAGCTGTTTTCTTCAAGCTACAGTTCCTCACCCTCTTTCTGACTGGCATGTTTAATTTAAGGGTGGTAGTATTTTTCCTTTCCCTGGTTTCACTCAGCTCTGCCCGTGTAATCCCACAGTGCACCGCTGTCACTGACAGCAAACTCCTCTGTTACGTAAGGACGGGCACAAACCTGCCCTTCCCTGCCTGCCCTGTTTCCTTTTCTGTATTTCTGCTTTCTAGGTCTCCTCACCCCATTACAACCCGTGGATTTGGTCTAGTTTTGCTGCTCCAGGTGTGATCGCTGGAGCCTCAATAAAAGTCAATTTGTCTGCCAAATCCTTGCCATTATTGCACTGCCCTCATTAATGCACTTCATAGTCCCATCCCATCCATGAATATTTTACACACACGAGCAATGGGAGATGTAATTCCCTGTGACTCACAGAATGCTATACTCCACTGCTGGCTCTACAAGGAGCGTGTGGGACAGCAATAGCCCTTGGTAAAGGGCAGGCATCAATATTCCTAAATATTTGATCCCAGAAAGTGCCTCCTGGTGAGATTCACGAACAGAGTATTCATAGAATCACAGAATCCCAGAACGGTTTGGGTTGAAAGGGACATTAAAGATCATTTCATTCCACCCCCCTGCCACGGACAGGGACACCGTCCACTAGACCAGTTGCTCCAAAACCTGTCCAAGTGAGTCTTGAACTCTTCCATTCACATCACCGGTAAATTAGCCCAGGGCAGAGTTGTAGAAACCAGCAAGGCTTCTCCAAGCCAACCTTTTTGCGAGCAAACGCCTTGTGCGTCTTCCTTGGCAAGCGGGTGCAGGCACCACATCCCGGCAAGGTGCAGAGGGGACAGACCCAGTATCAAACTACACCAGGGTAGGTGTAGGTCGGACATTAGGATGAATTTCTTCACAGAAAGGGTGACATTGGAACGGGCTACCCAGGGAGGTGATGGAGTCACCGTCCCTGCAGCTGTTTAAGGAAAGACTGGCATGGCTCTTGGTGCCACGGTAGTGCTGGGTTCCAGGTTGGACTCGGGATGATCGCGGAGGTCTTTTCCAACCTAACTGATTTTCTGAAGCCCTCCGCGAGCCTCGAGCCGGGCGCGGCCTCACCACAGCCCGGTGTGAGGGACTCGGGCGGGCTGCGACAGGAGCAGAGTCCGGACCTCGCCATAAGAACGACCCTGCTTCAGCTCCGCCGAGGGGCGGTGCCCACCGCCACGATTGACAGCCGCATCGTCCAATCAGCGCAGCGTCCTCCGCCACGATTGCCGGATTGACAGCTGCCTCGCCCAA